ATGATGCTCCATAATTGACAATATTCTTTTGATTGCTGCCAGTGTGTATATCATGCTTGAAAATGTATTCTATCATTTAAATGGCACTGTGTAATGAAATGTGTTTTCCTTGAAATTTTGCATCCATTTTTCTTCACAATTTTTTCCAATTTCATTGACAATATCAGTTGCTTTTGCACTTTCCATAATCAACATAACTTTGTTAAATAATGTGAGTTGCCCTTGTACAAACCATAAATAGTTGATTTCAATTCAATTTTTTATCATCTCTTCAAAATGCTCCAGTGGAATAAAATTTCAAATATTCTGTCAATAGCTGGAAGTAGCAAAAGAAAATGGGTGTTGTTTATGTTGAAGAACTTTTTAGTCTACATATACAAATTCACAAAAATCTTTTAGTTTAGTGACTCAAATTTATAAATAATAATCACACTAAATATAAGACACAAGTAAACTGGTAAGTCAGGGCTAACTCTAGTGGTGACAAAATTTAACGGAACAACATTAATCGCTAATCTTATGATACATCGCCGATAGTGATAACAGATGCCAGTCTATTACGCTAGCAAATCATATCACTGCACATGCGTGAAGCGTTAGCCCCACAGAACGAAGACGCTACTCATCGGATCGTGGTTTGTCCGGTTCACTACTGCCCTCTACCGCTACATTGCCAGCCAATCACAGCTGTAGTTCCTATTACTGTTCCCTTTTTTGAACATTTATTGTGAATACTGTATTGCTGCAAAGAAGCACTTTGCATTGATTTTGTACATAAACATATTTTCCTCTCGTGTCGTTTTTTTGTGTTCCTGACCTAACCCGTCACTTTAGACCCTACATTCCTATACAAAAAATGCATGTTTCAGTACGCTCCACCCCCTCCAAGTTTGTCCCATGATCTATGAAACACCCTGTATATATATATATATATAAAAGGATTGATTTTTAAAAAAATCACAGGCTTGTGTGTGCTTTGCCATAATCAAATAAATCAAAAAAGCCAAACCACTGTATGGGTGTTTTTGTGAATTTCAACCTGTGTAACAAACCTATTTCCCTTAGAAAGACCTTTACAAAGATATCCCATGCTTTAAGCAGACAGCCCTTGTTTATTTTTCTATATCTGAAACAATCTCCCATGTGCATCCTGGGTTTAATTGGGTAAGTGTTACAGTAATCACTTATTTGAAGTCTTACTGCGAATCTTCATCTTCACTTTCAATAATTCTCATTCGTCGTATCTTTGCAAGTATAATTTTGGAACCACTACTTGAAGTCTCAGAATTATAATCAACATTGTCTTTCGCAATATCTTTTAACACACGAAAATCAAGCATGTCTTCACTACCACTCAATTCTAAATTCTCATCATAATAATTATTTTTCTCCATGTTGCTAACCATAAAAAAGGTCAAAAAAATGGTTTAATCATAACAGTACAGAGAGTGAGCACATTTTAACTACAGATAACAATTGCCAATGCCAACGATATCGCAGCATCTTAAACATAATCATGCTAAAAACATTCGCTTTTAGGCAGTGGTACAAAAATGTGCAAAGCGCTAAAGGTTAAGCTTTTTAATTTTTTACATTATGAAAACCGGATCAAATTAAAAATCTAAAAATCCTTCTCATACTTCTTTCTAAATTGTTGCAAAAAGCCTAATTGAAATATTGAAGTTAGAAAGGAAAAAATATTAGATATGGCACTTAATTTCATAAAGTGAGCTATGTTATATATTAATATGAGTGGAACCTAAACACTCATTCTAAACAAACTGGAGAAAAGTATAAAGAGAAACAAAATGAACAAAGATTTAAAACTTTTTTGTCTTTAGAATGAGTATATCAGAAACTAATTTAATTATTTGGCAGAATACAATGAAATTCAAATATGAAACAGTCAAACAAATAACCTTTGAAGTTCACACTAAATCCAGCTGCAGATTACCATAGAAAAGTACTTTCCTATTTTACAGTCTACATTTTCATTTATTTGTGAAATAAACTGCTACTCAAAACTATTCATATAATTTTAGTTATAAGATTACATTTTAAGTCTGAATTAAATTTCCACTACATATCAATCAATTTAACCCGATTTAGGTGCACTGCTTAAAAATTTCTGAAATAGTTTGAGAAGCGACTATATGTATGTAAGATAAAAATGTATGAATCAGAATTATAACTATAAACATTAATTCTTCCTCTCTATTCTAAGATCGTAATAACTTATCTGCATTGCGTCATTCAAATTAATCATGCGATCTTACGTCCGTAATACCAGATGCCTCTTGACGTCCAATCACCGAATTGTAAACCAAAACTTTTCTCTTCGCGTGCTTCCATCTTTCATAACTACGCACTTCAGCTTTTGCTCTCTACTTTGCTAAGATGGAATTTCGCTGGCTTGCTTTCTATCTCAACAATATCTAAAATGTTAATCTTCTGTGGAAAGGCACGACTACAGTGTTAAGTGATCTGTGGCCACATATGTCAATTGGAAATAAAAAATGGAATTAAAATCGCTTCTACTGACAAGTTTTATTTACGAAGTCAACACATTAGCTTATGACGCAATCAGATTACTTCCTCTTCAATATAGGATAACTACGCATCTGCAGTGTTCCGTCATTTCCTTTGTGATTTTATTATGACAATTAAGCCGGTAGGATAGTTCCTGCAGCCTGAAACCTCAATGGAAAATTTAATTCAGCTCTTCAAATCATCGTTTTGTGATAAATCCAAGATAATGTGAAAGAAGTGAATCATCAAATTTGTTTTTTCAGTGTTTAAAAAATAACAGATCATTCTTCTGCTGTGGTGTTTTGCAAGTGCTTCAAAAAAATAATCACGCGTAGTGTTTACAGATTGAAAGTAATCTTCTCGATAAAATTGAGAAGTTCAAATGCCTAGTGAAAGGAATATTGAATTTGCTTCGCCGATCTCTACAATATTTACAAAAAGAGTGCTTTAAATCATCAGTGCATTACCGTTTTGGAATTAAGCATTACAGCGGGTTCAAGGTAGATCTGAGTTAGTGTTTGCAAGTATGTGCGACAGAAAATTATTTGCATTTCCACTTTTTCAACAGCTCAAAAATTTTTACATTCGTGTGAATCTAGCTCAGAAACTAAATCATTTAATGTGCTGCGGAATTCTATAGTTTTCATTTCAACTTTAATTAAAATTTCTGCAGTTTGTTTTGAGAAAATCTGGAAATTCTTGTTCAGTTAATTTTTCTATTTTTTCAATTATGTGTGAGCAAAATTAAGTAATGAAATTTAAGCTATTTAAATTATTCATAGGGAAGGATATTAAGATAAATTTTTATGTTTTGAAATTTTGTTGAGAATTTTGAATACGAATTTTATAAATATTCTAAAAATGAAGTAGGTGTAAAAAATAAGTGAAATTGTTACAGATACGTAATATAAAATTATGGTAAATGCATGTTAAAATTTATGGGTCATTGTGTGTTAAGTATAGTATGATGAGGGTGTACTGGTTCCTTCAACTGAGGCCTGTAATTACCCCTGTACAGTTGTTCCCTTCACCCTCTTCAAGTAAGATAATTGGAGGCTCTCATTTTAAGATCGAGTGTTGTAATTTTTTTTTATATTATTATTATCATATATTTTTTTAAATTATGGAATGTATTAGTGCAGATCTCAAAGGCCAGTTACCTTAATGCAAGGAACGGAGGCCTTTTCAAGTAACTGTCTAGGCACCCTGGGCCACCAGTGCAGAGAACACACTGGTTAGCTCAAGAGGACAGCCCTATTGATGGATATGTTTGTTTAGAAGTATTGCGAGGCCTTCCAGTATGGTAAAATAAAGGAATTGTAAATGAAAGATGATAACGGTGAAAACCATAAATTCTGAAAATCTTAATCCTATTATTAGATGGTATTAAATATAATTTATCAATATGAAATTAATATCATAAATATTTATGTGCATTTAATTATAAGTAATGATTATGTAAAAGTTTATTTTGTGATATTCTGTAATAACAAGAACCTTCCCTGAAGAATTATGATTATGTGAACTCTCAAGCAAAAACACTTTTGGACTGAAATGCTGAAAAATTCAATAGGACTCTAAAAATTAAAAATTTCAAAACAAAAAACAAAAAAATTATCTTTATAAATTATTCTTTACAGAACAAAAATTTAATGACGACATTTTTTTTTTTTTAAACATTTGCTAGTGTTTTAACTCTTTCTCTTTAAAAAGGCTTCTCTCTCGCTACGCCTTTTTCTTTTTGAAGGAGGGAATATGTAAGATAAAAATGTATGAATCAGAATTATAACTATAAACATTAATTCTTCCTCTCTATTCTAAGATCGTAATAACTTATCTGCATTGCGTCATTCAAATTAATCATGCGATCTTACGTCCGTTAATACCAGATGCCTCTTGACGTCCAATCACCCGAATTGTAAACCAAAACTTTTCTCTTCGCGTGCTTCCATCTTTCATAACTACGCACTTCAGCTTTTGCTCTCTACTTTGCTAAGATGGAATTTCGCTGGCTTGCTTTCTATCTCAACAATATCTAAAATGTAAATCTTCTGTGGAAAGGCACGACTAGAGTGCCAAGTGATCTGTGGCCACATATGTCAATTGGAAATAAAAATGGAATTAAAACTGCCTCGACTGCCAAGTTCTTTAAAGACTACGCAATCAAAAATCTTCTTCAATATGGGTCTAATCACGCATCGACACTGCTCCGGCTTTTCCTTGTGCTTTTATTATGACATGTATATATGAATCCAATCTTGCACTTTCAATTGTAGATTATTATTGTTTATTATTAATCTATCAAAAAGGCAATTTTAAGCAGAAAACTTTTAAAATATCAAATATAAAAGATGTTAACATGTTTCAACTAGAGTTTGATAGTGAAAGCACACTTTTAAGAGGACTTTTCTGTAATGCAGAATGTCACAGTGATAATTAAAAGTTATTAAAATAATGTAGGAAAATCTTACTTTTTCTTACTGGAATTTTTCCTGTTTTATTTGTACTTCCTGCCACTACAGGTGGAATTAAAATCTTGTTTTCTTTTACAAATTTTGAGTTGAATTCCTATGAAATTGCAACAAATATCTTAAACTTTGGTATAACATTTGTATTTTCAAACATTTTAAACATCTAAAACCTTACATGCAATATCTACCAAAAATGAAATTAAAATATTTTTCAAACAGAATAGAAATATGATAACCCTTACTGCTCTGCATGATATTTAAAACAAAGTGCAAAGGAATTATTAGCAGGTAGCATAGTAAAAAAGAAAGATATGTAACAAATTTAGAATTATAAAGTAAATATAATTCAGAAAGTATATAACCATTTCAAGTTGTTTTCTTTCTTCATTTTCCTTTACTCGATCTTTAATATCTAAGGCAACTTCTATGCATGAAGATCTCCTAGATATCTATAATCATGTTAATAATTAATTTCTAATCTAAAGCTTTAGATAATGAAAGAAAATTCTATAAACTATTCTACAGCATTTAATTTGAATATACAGTCAAAAGTCGTTAATTCGGACACCCATAATCCAGAATGATCTATAATCCGGACCTCAAAAGTACAAACTTTCTGCGCATGCGTCGTGTTGACTAGACTTTTACGGCTGCGAATTTGTGTGTGCGCGTGCGCAAAATACGGTTTACGAATGCGCGTTTAATGTATAACGGACGGTGTAAGCTAAGCTCTAATTATCTATTTCAGTTAATGTTGCAGATTGCGTTGTTCCTTAATCTTAGAATTGGATCCGGCTTATTATTTTTTGCAGATTGTTAGAGCAATTTCATAAAAGTAAGCTTGAACTTTCGAGTATGTCAAATAGAATTTCCGATTTATATTTACTAATATGCAACGGATCTACAAAGCGAAAGTATGTTTTGGAGTCCATTAAACAAAAAGTGGAATTGCTGCAAAAAATGGATAAAGGCATATCCTTTGTTTATCTAAACTTTAACGTTTGTTTATCTAAACTTTGTTTATCTTTAGCGCCGCGGCGGGCGCACAATGAATTGGAAGTTGATCTGTCAGCACTATGCTTATCTTCAGGGCAGATGTTTTTATTTTATTTGGCTTATAATTGCTTACTAAATGTAGTATTTCATTTCGATATACTCCGTCTTTGATATGATTCAAATCAAATGCCTCGTCATTATAATTCGCTTCCGATAGCGAAGAAAGTAACAGAGGTTATTGAAAACGAAAAAATTTCGATTGACAAATTAGTCGGTATTCTCGACACAGCAATTATAGGACTTGAACAGTGGAACTTTGTAACTGAACAAGAAATTATGTATGTTTATAGAATTAAAGACAATGTATTATCACATAAAAAACGAAGCAACTTACATTGAAAGAAATGTTTAATAAAGTAAACAAATAAATATTAAGCTTTTTTTTTTTTGTAAATTTTGATACATTTTAGATCATAATTGTTCTTTATTTCGTAAATTGGTTTCATATTTTTAATTTTATAATTTCTGCATGCCATCTTACGCGATTTAAACTGATGATCTATAATCCGGAAAAATCAATCATCCGGAATCGCCGAAGTCCCGACGAGTCCGGATTAACGACTTTTGACTGTATATATATATATAATATAAAATCAAACTGTTTCATTTTTAGTAGCAGTAATAGTAACGAACAACTTACAGGTTCTGTTGCTACTTCAATCTTATCCAATTCTTCAATAGCCTACAGTGAAAAAACATTTTACAGAATAACCAGAAGTGTCATTTGCAGATTTAAGATTATTTTTTATAGCTACAATATATACATACACAATGTGTACATAAAGTAAAATAAAAATTTTATTCGTTTTTATATTTTATTTGATAATTGTGGGAATATCTGATTTACATATCATTACTTTTCTTCTAGTATTGTAAATATTGCTAACATCTTATTAGCCGAGTTCAGCTTTAGAAAAAGAGAAAAAGTGCAAAGTTATGGAAATATAACAAAATTGATAAATAAGAATGAATTTAAGACGTTTGAATTTAATAACAGTTTTCAAAAAATGCATGAACTTATTAATACGTAATTTCAAGTAGATAAGCTATGCATGTGTAAAAGTTGAAAATTTAGGGTTGCAGCATACCTGAAGGAAATTTTTTTCCCTTTCTGTCTGTAAAACTTTCTAGTTAAATCGTAAGTTAAGCAAAGTGAAACAGTTTAAGCACTTGGTGTAAAAACACTGTAATTCATGTACTTTCTGACACAGTAATTTATGTATACTGAACTCTGAAGTTTTGTCTGCTTTTTCTGATAACCACCTTTTATTTAAAAGGCACAGGAAATATTATTTCACCAGTGCTAATTTTTACATGTGTCTCGCAGCTGACTTGCTTATTGTTTGCTTGTTGAATTTTTAAAATTATTATTTTTATTTTGACTCCCATTTAAAGAAAAAGTTATACTGCTTTTATGCTCTCAACAATGAAGAAAGCAACAGAAATTGGGCTGTGGCTATACAATTTCAAGTTTATAAGAGATGCATTCAGTAGTGGAAATCAAAACAAGAAGAATTACAGAAAATGCCTCAGAATAAAAGATCAGAATGGTGTCAAAACCTGGCTTGTTTTGGAAGACAATTTATAGAAATGGACAATACAGCAGAGAGAAAAGGGATTCTCAGTGTTACCAGGTAGAATTTGCTTTTGAACAAAAGTAATCGCTCAACAAATGGGCATTAAAAACTTTGTTGGAGGATCTAATTGGTGTTTCAGGTTCATGAAAAGAAAGAACTATCCACCAGGACCAAAATAACAGTTGGTCAAAAGCTTTCCATGGGAAGCTTTTGACTTTCTGTCTTAGAAAGAAAAAAGAGGGAGAGAGAGAGATAGCTTCTTTGGAGTATACATCTAAGAAAATTAAAGAGCAAAATTTAAATAGAGATCAAATAATTAATATGGATGAAGTACCCATTATGTTTGATTGTTCTCCAAGCAGAACTGTTCATTTTGTAGATAAAAACACTTTCTGTGTTAACAAGTGGGATAAAAAGTCTTCTTTAACTTGTGTTTTGGGTTGTAGCGTCAAAGAGGAAAAGTTAATCCCTTTGATAATTTCACAAGAAAATCAGTTCAAAAGGAAATGCTCCTAAAGCGCTCATTATTTGCACCAATGAAAAAAGATGGATGTACGAAGAAGTGATGTAGTTTAGACTGAGACAAATCTATTGAAAAAGAAAGAGGCTTTTCCCCAACCTTGGGGGACTTGCTGTTCTGGATTCAATACGATCCCGTTTAGTAGATATGATAACACCCAAAGCAATATAACTTAGCACCAATGTCAGTGAGACCAGCTGGGCCTCCAGAAATTTTACAGCTACTGAGTCTCACCATTCATAGAATTTCCAAGCATGAGCTATGAAAGCAGTGGGAGGAATGAATGCAAAGTGAATGAAAGATTCCATTCTTTCATGAATTCCTGACGGATGAGATATGAGGAGGTTGGTTAATAAAGCATGGCAATCAGTCCGAGCTGATAAGATCATATCAGTTTTCATTAAATAGAAACTCATTGAAAAAAAAAATGAAAATCAAGATTGAAAGAAGTCACTTAGAACAGAGCGATGAAAGTGACCTTGAAGGTCATTAGTTTATTTAATTCTGGCATTGATGAATCGGATTTTTTGGTACATAACAAATTGCAGATTATTAATTATAAAATCTTGTTTGATTATCTAATTTACCTATATTCTTTTTCATAGTATGATAATTTATGGTAATACCAAACCTGTAAAAATAACGTCTATTAGAAATCAGCACAATTTGTCTTGAACAAGTTAGAGGTGAGATTTAAAAATTTTTTTTTAATTATTTATATATTACTCTATAGTTATTTTGTAGATGTTATAAAATGTTATCAGTGATGATTACATCAATACGGAACGAAATTCCTGAATAAATGAATATAGAGTGCCATGTTTTGGAATTTGTTGCTTTGGCATATCCAATGAACTTTCATTTTTTACTTCCTTGTACGAAGTAAAGGAAGTATTGTCAGAGCAAAAAATTTCTGGTATCATATTTCAATACAAATGCAAATTTTGATTGTTCTTGAATACAACTGATTGATGTTTTTATGTGACATCTGCACGTGTGAACAGAATAAAGGATTATCTTTTCCAAAACGAATTGCAAAATGGATTCAGAAGAGATGTTTTCACGACGTATGCATGTACGTACCTTTATATGTATGTATAAAATGAGTAGCCTTCAGAATGTTGAAATTTTGTATATATATATATATTTGCTTTTTTATGTATTTACATGTTTGTTAATATATATATATATATATATATAAATTTTAGAAGAAGCACGACCAGTTTGATAGTGAAACATCATTTATTCTTGAATGAAGAATTTTTTAACACATAACTGTTAGGCAACTAATGTGCCTCATAATTTAAGATATGCAATTAAATTTTAATTAATGGTGAATAGCTAGCAGAGGCTGAACAACACGCTGTCAGCAGGCAGGCGAAGAGGCAAAAGAGAGAGAGAGACTACAGAGTTAGTAGCTATTTATACTAGGTAGGTGCAGAAACTATTCTAAGCTATGACTGGTTTATTTTAGTTTTAGTTACCTTTATCAAGCGGTGTTATGTAACATGGAAAGATCTCGAATTTGGGAGAACAGAGGAATTTACAGGGACAGCATAAAATCTAGAATTGTTAATTTTAAGGTCGCCAATTATTCTTAAAGCAGCTATTGAATTTTGTTATAGCTAACGTATCACCCCCTTCAAAAGAAAGGTTGGGAGAGCAGGGTGGCAGAAAAAGCACTTGTGAAACAAGAGAAAGTTTGTCATATGAGGAAAGACATGAGGAAGAATCAAGGACATAGCCTGCAGGTTTTCCTATGCCCTGCCATTACTCATGATGTTTCTCATATACAGATTATGAATTACTTAAACAACTAATTTACAATTATTACAACAAAAATATAACTTCTAAACAAACTAAATAATAAATTAACACAAATATAATTTTTTTAAAGACCTCAAATTATTAAAATGTCCAATGAAAAATTTTGTAAGGTCTCTTGAAAATAGTTCTACAAGGTAAATGTTTAATAACAGTCTCAAATTTTTCTTGATGAAAAATATTTCCATAGATTTGCCAACTTATCATGTAAAAATATAATACTCAATTTATGATTATTTAAATAAATTCTTCTTATTGTGGATACAAATATTTAATACAATAGAAAATTTAAACATAGTAATATAATGCAATACACAATAATACTTTGACAATTAATTGGCATGTCCTCTCCGACAAAATCAGCGTACCATCTTGGTTGGAGGATGCTTAAGTACAATGTATCAAAAAATCCCCATTCCTTAGAAAAAGGTAACTGATTTTAGGCATCCTACAATTGTCAAAGTTTTTGTTTCAAAAATCTTTCCTGTTAAATTAATCAAATACTACATTATATAGAATTAAACTGAAATTTAAAACAAATAACTCATACAATAAATCCTTTTAAATTTTACAAAAATAAAATTGAATATTACTCTACAATAAAGGAACAATTTTGTTTTAAAATCATGTATAAAGTATGAGCTTGTGAATTAAAATTACAATAATTTTTTTTTGAATCTCCATAATAATAGTTTAGGGAAGGCATTTTAAAATATAAAAAATTTGTATACATCATTCATAAACACAACAAATTTTAAACTTTTCACACCATACAGCATCATTTATTGAAATTATGCTTTTCACTATTATTAAGACATTGACGATTTACTTATTTTTTACAAAACCCCACAACTTTCTCTAAATACTAACATATCCACCATATTGGCACATCCAACTGAGTGAACTGGTGTTTAATTTTCACCAGTGACCGAAAGGGATGCCAAATTGGCAGTTACCGTAAAAGGGCCTCCGTTCCTTGGATAGAGGCAACTGGCCTTTCTGAGCTGCTCTATCATTCAATTATAAAAAATTAAAAACACACTCTATTATATGAAAAAATATAAATACTTGGATTAAAAAATGTATTTTTTCATAAGATGAGAGACTTAAAGAAACATTAAAGAAATTCTCGAAAACATTAAAGAAATTCATACAATTTAAAATTTTCAAACAATAATTTCATTCTTAAAATTCAAAATAATATTCAAAATTCAAAAATATAAATTCAGAGACATTTAAGCAATAGTACAAAGATATTAATCGTATTAGGAACCTTTTCTAAGTAAAATCTTCAAAATTCTTTACCAAATTTTTATAAAATTCAGATATATGAAACTACATTAAAAATAAATCATAAAATTTTTAAATGATTAACTTTCATCTTAAAATGATTTAAGCAAAATATTACCATCAATAAATCATAATACAATTACTTATAAATGCAAAGTTATTTTAAAACTTAATTTACTTGATTGAAAAAAAATTTGCTTTGTAAATGGAACTTAATACTACTTCAACATCACTTTTGATGATATTCCATTCTTTGAATGAGAAGAGCACAAAACATTATTTCGTATTTCACATTTCATTGATAAGGGTTACTGAACTTAAAAGCACTTCGGATGTTAAATTTACTTTTACGCCATGATTGGAAATGCATAGACATTGTGAATATTTGTAAAGAACAAGAACCATATAACCATATTTCTATGTTGCAACACTGATCTAAGGACCTTGATACGAAAACTTTTCTTCTCTGCTTCAAAGCAGTGCACCGTGATGCTGTACTTTATTTTTCTCTTTTAGATTTTTGAACTTGCAGATACATGATATCCATTTTGAATTTCTTTTACACATCGAAGTTCGAACAGGTGGTTGGTTAATGCAGACACTGCGATGACGTTTCCATTGGAATTTTAACACACAGGATATGTATCCTGTGAACGCTTCTGTAGTATTGTACTTTTGGCGGAAGATAAAAGCAATTCACATTCTAGTCATGGCCCAAAAAACTGCTGCGTAGATACGCAGCATAGTAAATGATTGGATGGAATTTTAGAAGAAGCATAATCAGCTTGATAGTTAAACATCATTTATTCTTGAATGATGAATTTCTTAACACATAACTGTTAGAAGACTAGGGCTGCTAAATGCACCTCATAATTTTAGATATGCAATTACATTTGAATTAATGGCGAATAGCTAGCAGAGACTGGGCGACACACTGCCAGCAGGCAGGCGAAAAAGTGAAAGAGAGAGCGAGACTAAGCAGTTAATAGCTATTTATACTAGATAGGTGTGGAAAACTATTTATAATAGATTGGTGCTAAGCTATGATTGGTTAATTTTATTGTTAGTATCCTTTTGCAAGTGGCGTTATGTACTTTTGCAAGTGGCGTTAGATATCGAATTTGGGAGAACAGATGAATTTACTGGGACAGCATAAAATCTAGAATCGTTAATTTTAAGGTTACCAATTCTTAAAGCAGGTATCGTATTTTGTTAAATATTACACACACACACATATTATATATATATGTAATTAATTTACTAAAGAAATATTAATTATATTATCTCCCAATATAAATTTAGTAGAAATTTGTGCATTTTATGCTTTAAAAGTGATTGAATTATGTTATGTTCGAATTAAGGTTTTTATGCCTTTAGTTAAACTGCACGCGATAGTTGTAGAATTATCAGCAATTTAAGAGTTGTTTTAGTGGTATTAAGTCTAATGAGGCCACCATTCTTACATTAGAAATTCTTATTAAAATGGTGAATTAAGTCAGTTTGTGCACCAACTACAGTGTGATTTTGCCGTGTGCAGTAAAATAAACTTTAAATTTTGTACACCGAAAACTTTGTTTTCCTGCTCGCTGGCTGAATTGCTTGTTTTGGGGTAGAAACACTAATAATTTTAACCGTAAAATTTGTTTTTTTTTTTTCAACTGCTTTTAACTGTATTCAGGTGTTTTACATTTTCTGCATTGTACACATTTTTAATGATGATGTTTTGAGTTTTTATGTATTTTTGCCTTGATGCAAAGTGAGAACTGAATTAAATGAGAAATATACCACTAATGAAATTCGAGGAAAGGCAGCTTATCTACCCAAAATTATGATACATCACATTAATAAAATTTACTAAAATATTAAATTCAGTACATATGAATGTAAATAGTTTAATGCAGAATCCGAAATGAATATAAGAAATCTGATTAAGTTAAGGCAGTGGGGTCTTCAATCTCTGTTCTCCAGGGAAACCACAGTTCTATGAGTCGAGATAAAAATTTGAAAAGAATATTATAAAGTACTTACATTAGTTGACTAGCATTTATTAACTAAAAAATATGAAGATGCATTTAGTCATAGATTAATTTTACAACTTAACACGTGCAATGTTTGGGAAAACTAAATAGTTGTCTAATGGAATATGAATTGAATTTAGATGACAGTGTTAATAATGATACAATGGAGCATGTTTTTCAATTGAAGAAACTATAAAAGAATATTTCCCAGAAGTAACTAAGTGTGACCAGATAAAAATTCGTTTGAGTAATACAATAAATCAGAAGGCTTGCTAGTGAAAGAAATGGAGCAACTTAATGACATATCAACAGATCTGACCTTAAAATCTAAATTTAAGTAAGAGAAGCTCATAAATGTTTGGTTGTAGTTTCATGCAGAATAGCGAGACATTTTTCACTCAACTACAAACATTTTAATGCCATTCAGAACAATGTATTCAAGTGAAAAATCTTTCTCAATGTATGTGGCAACAAAAACAAAATATACAAACAAACCAAATAAAGAATAAAAAATATGACTGCAGATAACATCAATAGAAACAGATCTTGACAGTTTGTTTAAAAAAATGCAAGCACACTCTTGTTACTAAATATAAGGCCTGGAGCATGAATAAATGCTATTACAGGGTTCGTACACATTTCTGCACATGGGAATTAAGTACTTTTAAGGACCATTAATAAAAAAAGCTATAGCAAATGGGAATTGAATAAACTGTCTAATTAAATTAGAAAAAAAAATGAAATAGTTTCAAAATGCTTATGTTTTACTTCTTGCCTAGAAACTCGAGTACCCTGCCATTTATATTAGATATAGGAAAAAATTATAACCCATGAACCATTCACCCATTCAAAAGATAACCATATTTGTCAGTGAATTGTCAAAAATATTTCTATAATATGCTAATTCACACTCAATATGGCAGTGGGAAAAACAGACAGAAAATTCAGATGATTAAAATTAAGGACCATCTACCGATTTTGGCCGTAATTAAGGACTTTCAAGGACCAAAATTCGAATCCAAAAAACGTAAGGACTCTTAGGGACCATGCGAACCCTGAATAAATGAGTAAATTACATTAATTTTATCTTAAAAATTTGCGACAAAAAATCACAATATTTTTTATTTTATTTATTTATTTATTTTATTTTTATGATTTACCCCCCAAAAACCCTTATGCTTTTAAGGGTTTTGAGAGTCAACAAAGTTTGAAGACTACCGAGTTAAGATAATAAAACTAAGAATATGAAATCTTAGAAACTTAAAAATATAAGATAGAAGAGAATAAATACCATAACAAAGCTTTTCCAATAAACCATTAAAAAATCCCCATAGTGTTGCATGTATCCAGTGCTAAATTTTGGACTTAGTATAATACTGCAGTATGGTAAAAGACAAAATATTTTTTGGATGAATTTTCAAAAATTACATTTCAAAGGCAACTGAATTCTGCAACAATATTCCTTAGTTCACCATGATGGCTCTTCTGCATACACGTCAAAATAGCATGTTTTTGTTCATTATATTTTTACATCTGCAGCTGAAGAAAGAGAGGCTGCCAGAATTTCAAATCTACTAGACTGCATGCTTAATTTACATTATGGGAATTCCTGTTTTTTCATGTTTAAATGTTCTTATACTTATCACAGAAATAACACAACATTTAATCAGAAAACAGAATAGCTCACACTGCTTAAAAACTTATCATGCTACTAGGCCTATGAGAAAGGATTAATATTTAATCAGAGTAGATATATTTTTAAAACCCCAAACTCATCAAAACAGTTCAGCCTGACTTAAATACTCAGTTTACAGTCACAATCATAAACACATTCTACACTTAATAAAAATTACTTGTTTGAACCAATATAATAAATTGATGTTCATTCAGTCTGGGGTTTGAATCCTGGCAAACAAACTGGACTGCATGGTCATTTTTATAGTTTTCCACTTATGTAACATCTTTATGAGCTAGTTTCCATTGGAAAATCCTTTACAAAGGCATCCCTCCTCTTAGTCAGATAGCCCTCAAGTGCTTTGCCATAGTCAAATAAACGAAACCATGCACTTTTATTTGTTAAGTCTTTTTTTCCATGAATCCAATTTTTTTGCTAAGTCTTTTGTTTGAATGCATGGGTTTTATCATTTAATCAATAAATTAATATCTAGAACAATATATGAAACATAACCAAACATGGAGGTAAAATATTTCAAATCTTTTTTGGTAGTTACAGATTAGCACAACTACCTCGCAGAATGGCAATATTTTCTGAATCTACATAACATTTAAAAAAATTTTAACAAGGAATATTGACATTTTTGTATGTGTTATCTGTGTTCTAAGTTCCAACAATTTTTATAGATATACTGTGACATGTTTATATGAAATTCTATTTTAAAATACACACTTGTGGGATTTACTTGCAGTGGAAGAAATTTCGGATACAAAATCGCCAAAGGGAAGAATTATTTCGTATCAATTCTTAAAGCAACCACAAAATTTCCCCTGGGAAAAATGACCAAAAACAAAACTTCCCACAAATTTATTGATTAATTTTCAGGATAAATATTTAATTAAAATGTCAAATATGTGCATAATACTATATCTGTAAGTCATAAATATTTCATTTCAGTTATAAGTCATCATTCTTTTTTTACTATAAACAATCACCAAATTGCGTTATAGTGGTTGTGGTACTATGTAAGTACTTCTTTTTTGTATCAAAGCATTAAAAATTAAGGCTTGTTACAAAAATATATACAGCATGCCAGTTAAGATTTGTATATCTAAATTAATAAAACTTTTGAATTAGTGAACCATAATATATTATAATAATTAAAGGTTAAATGAAAAATTAAAATGTATATAAAAACTAAATTAAAATGGACTCTCGATTAACTGGAGTAATACTGAGCTTGACATCCATGTTTAATACAATCATGGTTAATCTGACAGTGACAGCAGTTTGAGGAGGGACAGAAAAGAGGAATAAATAACCCATATTATTATTAAAAGAAAATATCTATAACAGTTTACCTGCATTTTTAAGCAGTATAACCTCTGAGTGGCCAGGGTTTCGCTAAGAAAGCACAAATTTCTCAAACCTACTATAAGAACAACTTATTTTTTTGATTTTAATGTAAAAACTCTCTTAGTATTACACACCTGGATTTGTGTTCCTTTGATATATTGCCTTAATTTCTTTGCGATATTTTAATATGCGTGTATACGTTCTTACAGATATCACAAAAAATATTCTAGGCTGCGTATATACGGCCTTGCTGCTTAGAGGGTTAATTTGGAGAATAATTTCATTTGGTTACGAAAATTAATCAGCATTCAAAATAAAATAAATAAATAAAAAAGGCATTTCAAAACAGAAAGAACAACACTGTTTATATTAATCTTATTTAGGAACACGGGATTCAACAGGAAGCAGATGATTAATGACTGTGCACTTAATTAATTTTTACAATTTAGCAATATATTTTTAATGGATGATTTCAAATTACTTTTAATGTTTATACTTCAGACTATACGTAATTAAATTATGTACTGCTTTGAATAAAACATGACATCATCTACGACCACTGCTGTTATCCTACACATTTTCTTCTTCTTTCTGTATTTCCCATCGAGTTCTTTTTCAAAAAAAAAATTTTTTTTTTTTTATTTATTTTGACAGAAATTTTTCACTATTTCATAATAAACAAATTAATCTTTTTTTTTTTTTTTTTTTTTTTTTTTTTTAAACAAGGCCAGATTAATTGGGAGTTGACTGTAGTAACTTTAGAATTTTTTTAAAAAATGGACAGATTAAATTTGAATAAAAGAAAGCTTATATAGTTGTATGCATGTAATATGACCCTTAAAATCTCACCTTGCTTACAGCGAAGGAAACATCCTTGTCTTTTTCATCAGTCATTAATGTTTTGACACAGGATTCCAGTTGCTGCAGTAACAAGCTATCTTTTGGCAATTTTATCAGTCCTTTCAATCTAGGTAAAATTGTACACAAACGGAGACGAATGTTGGGCACGGGATCAACTAAAGGAAGGGGAAAAAAAAAAAAAAAAAAAAAAAAAAAAAAACTACATGCAAACATTTTCAAAGATGTGATAAATCAGAAATCTAATATTAGAGATTCTCAAAACTCTTCTTTCTACACAGAACTAACAATAAAATCCTAGAAGGAAAATTTTCAATAAATTGGGAAATGATAAAAATTAAAGTTCACTTTTAACAGAGGACAAAACCATTCTTTTCTTCCCTAAAATGAAAATAGAACTTTCTAGGTATACTTCCAACAAAAGATCCATTCCTGTTTTGTGAGTCAAACTGCAAATCTTTATTCCTGACCTGCTTTCAACAAGAGCTGTCCACGAACTATAAAAAAGCTACAACTCTGTTTCCTTGAATTGGAATAAATTTGCTCAGCAAAGTGAATTGATTCTTTGAAACAGTTCTGGAGAAGATTGTTCAACTCTACTGTGCATGAAGCAAACAGTTAATGATATAACTGGTTTATGTAATTGGGCTCTGTAAATATAATGGTTTCTCATTACAGTACAAAGTCCAAAATCCGGACACGTCGGGACTTCAGCGATTCGGGATTTTTTCGGACATTAGATCATTAGTTTAAATCTAATAAGATAGCCTGTAGAAATTATAAAATTAAAAATATGAAATCGTGATTTATGAAATAATGAAGTATTATGATCAAATCAAAAAAATCAAAATTTACAAAAAAAGCTTAATATATATTTATTTATCTTATTAAACATTTCTTTCAATGTACGTTTTTTAAGTTGCTTTGTTTTTTGTGCTAATACTTTCTCTTTAATTTTGTAGACAGACATAATCTCTTGTTCAGTTACATTGCTGAAGTCCTGTAACTGCTGTTTAGAGAATTCCGACTAAGTTGTCAATCAAAATTTCCTCATTTTCAGTAAATTCTCTGTCACTTTCTTCACTATCGGTAGTGATAATTTCTGGATCTTGAACCATACTACAGATTTCACCATTCATTAATTGATTGATGATTGAGAAGCATTGTCATCATAATGAAAAACTTCTTTTCTATTATTCTTCATTTATTACCGCTTCTCCACATTTCTTCACAATCCGTTAATTGGAGAATTTCAACTTTGGCGTTATCTGAAAACCTTTAAAATTAGCGGCTATCATCATCAAATTTAGTTATCCTTCACTATAGATATTTGGCTATGCATCATGAGCTTGGCGATTAACGATAAGTTGTTTTGTAAAATTTTATCTTGCTTCTATTGTGCACTGAGACAATTAAGCCTGAATTGTATTAGTTATTTATTATACTTATGTCTATTTCTCGCACATGCTTAAGGCTTATCAGAGTTTTGAATACATAAATTCCCACCATATATTTAAACCTTATTGAGGGCCAGCGCTAGATATCTTACTGCCTCTGCGAGTCCTAAATTCTGCGACTCGGTGCGGCCATACAAGCCCTGGTGCTGGTTCTGGGTTTATGTGAATAACAAATCAGTTATTCTTAATTCAAATAGCCCTAAATGTAATCTTTGGGTCTATGAGTATCACCAACAAAATCTATTAGGAATTTTTGGTAAATTTTTCCTCGTCAACATTTTTTAGCGCACTTAACTTAAATCTGTAATCATCACCAAGCATAATATCAACATAAAAGGTTACCATACTTCTTTATTATTGAATGACTAACATAAAAAAATTGTGTAGGCGTTGCTATATGAGTCATTACTCAAGTTGTCATGTTTTGATAAAAATGCAGTGATGAAAGGAAAGTACAATAAATAATGATTCGTCAGGCTGGCGTCAAATCAAGGATGTATCTATGTGGAATGCTTCGGTTTGAGATGTGTGCCAAGCAGATACTCAGCAATGGAGCCAAATTACTGATCATACAAATTTATGCTAAAATGATTGTTTTTTCAATAGAAAGGTATTTTATTTAGTTTTGAAGTGAAATTAACAATCGGGACTCTCCAGATGTTTTATTATGCATGGAGGGGGGAATCAAATGCGCATGCGTAAAGCCTATGAGCAAAACATCGTTGGTGGTTTTGAGGTCTGTATTTTACATCATTCCGGATAATGGACGTCCGGATTTTGGACTTTGTACTGTATAAAATATTCATTACTTTTCTATTTTTAAGTCTTCCATCAATGGAAAATGAAGCCATAAGAAGATGTCTGAGACATTATTAACAGCAACTGCTGAACTATGGCCATCAGAAAGAATATCAAAAATAAATTTTCTTGAATGTTTATTTATGTTGTTTTTCCTAAATAAATTACTAACAAAATTGTATTGAAATATAAAAAATAATAAAAACATACAAATGGATATAATTAAAATTAAATTGAATAAAAAATTGAATAATAAGAAACTGAATTTTCTGGCATGTTTATATATGTAGAATCAGAAAGAAAGAATATCCATCAGAAAGAATATCAAAAATAAATTTTCTTGAATGTTTATATATGTTGTTTTTCCTAAATAAATTGCTAACAAAATTGTATTGAAATATAAAAATAATAAAAATATACAAATGGATATAATTAAAATTAAATTGAATAATAAGAAATGGAATTTTTTTGGCATGTTTATATACATTATTATTTTAAATAAATTGCTTACATAATTGCATTAAATACAGTAAATTTTGCTGAATTATGTTATTTTAAATAAACTGCTGAGAAACTCAGTATTATGTAAATACTTCAATAAATACAAATTTATACCAATGTACACAATGAATAACTTGTGTTGCACTGTTACTGAACGAATAGCCAATTTATTGTTCACCATAGTCAATTTTGTTTTCATGGATGTTTATAACATTTTAAAACAAATTACATTTTCTTGAACATGAATTGCACCAACATTGTTTTCTCTTGCCAAGGTTGCTCTACTCTAAATTCTATTTAATTTAAAAACAAAAATATATACTTCACATTTAATTAAAAAAACTCTACCTTATAATTAACCCTTTTACTAAAACTGAAATGCATATTGTGATCAAAAGGATAGCTACATGCAAACCATAACTTTTTTTCAACTGGTAGTATCATCCCTAAACCAATCAGGTTGGAAATTACACTAATCATCAAAATTACAGGATAATGACAGAAATAAAACTTAACTGATTTTTAATGAAAAAATATTAAAAGAAATTTTTACAAAATCATTAGTTAACATAAATTACAACGTTTGGCAGTTGATGTTTCACAAAATATTGAAATTAAAACTAAATTTATCGAAATTGGAAAATGATGGAAAAATGAAGTCACTTCTTGTGGAAAAATGTTTTTCATTAATATGGTGGATAGTCACATTGGACAGATATGCATACCTCACATCTTGATTTCATTAACTTTACCAGAGTGTTGATCAAATCTTGTAGAACTGCATGCCAGGCTTCTAAACCTGCACTTTTCAGCTCTTGAAGGGTTTAGGGAGAAATTTGGTGTGCTGAATTCTGCACCCGAAGGTATCCCATACATGCTCAATTGGATTCAAGTCAGGTGAGTAAGGTGGCCAATCCATTATTGTGATATCTTCTGTTTGAAAGTATTCTGACACCACATATATGCTTAATGACCTCCAGCATTGTCATACATTATCAAAAACGCAGGGCAACAGCACCCCTAAACAGTCTAACTTGGGGTTCCAATATCTTGTCCACATATCTTTGAGTAGTTACAGAACCTTCCTGAAAGATATGCAGCTAGGTGTGGCCATTTGTCATGATTCCTTACTCTCTCCAGGAATGTCTAAAATCACTGTTTAGACTGTTTTGTATTAGCTGAGAAATGCTTGGTGCCAGAGCGGAATCTTGGCTAATGGCGCATGCGCCGCCGGAATTGGCACTGAAATGTATTCTGTGAGAAACTTGATTTTGTGGTACATTCGAAGTTGCGATTTATATGTTACGCTGTAAGGGGAAACCTAGCGCCTGAGAGTCGCTATGGAAAATAAATGTATTGAAACTGTGTAATGTGTGTGGAGTATTTTATTATGATACATAGCTATCGACGGTAAACAGAATAAGTCAATTCAAGATTTGTGGCTGATCAGAGCCAGAACAGCTAATGAAGTTTATGAGACTGTGATATTACTTTCAGTTTGTGAAATGAAGAATTACATAGGATACTTCCAGATTGAAGTTCTGTAGGAACAAAAGGGTAGGTACCCTTCTCCTTTTTGAAGCTCTTTATTTGTTTATTGACTTTTGCTAATTAAAATGTCACTAAAGGAGATATTAGCGAAAAAACGTACATTGAAAACACAGTTAACAAAATTAAAACAAAAGTTTGCGGACGAAAATGTCCAAGGAATTGACTTGGAAGTACTAAAGAATAAAGTGTTTGAGACAGAAATAAATTCTAATTTCGATTCTTTGTTCGGGTTATGTACGAAAGAAAGTATTTATGCTTATGTAAAAGAGAAAGAAGAGATTGACGATATTCTCTTAGATGTAGAAGTCAAATTAAATCGTAAATTAGCTAAACTTTCCAAAGAAATTAAATCTGAGCCTTCGGTTTGCACGAATACTGAGAACAATTTTAAATTACCCAAAATTAATTTGCCAATGTTTTCAGGTAACTTACATGAGTGGCTTTCATTTAAAGATATCTTTTTAGCCAGTGTTGATTCAAATCCTAATTTAACAGATGACGTCAAATTACAGTACTTAAAATCTGCGCTAAGAGGAGATGCTTATCGTATTGTGCAGTCAATATCCATAGTTGACTCTAATTATAAATTAGCCTTTTCATTACTAGAAGAAAGGTTCTCTAATCACCGTGAACAAGTGTATGCTCATCTGAGACGATTTATGAATATGCATCCTATGCAAAATGAGTCTGCGTCAGCAATATTAAACCCAATTGACATTACAAATGAATGCGTGAGATCATAAGAAGTTTTAAATCAGAGTGTTAACGGTTTTTCTTCCAATGTATTTGCATACATTTTAGGGCAAAAATTAGATCCTAACACCAAAATATGGTGGGAAAGAAAATTAGAGAAAGAGAATTTGCCTAATTTAACAGATCTTATAGAATTTCTTAAAGATTATACAAGAACTCTCAACGCTTCAAATAGTGTGATTAACACAAAAAAAGTTACACATAGAGTTACCGCTGTTGTTTCTAATGCAAATTAAAAACATACACGGAATTCATGTAGGTTATGTAATTTGAGCAATCACAAGTTTTTTAATTGTCCTAAATTTCAGAAATTAAAGTGTAAAAGAAAGGGTAGAATTTGTGAAAAAACAGAATTTATGTTTTTGTTGTTTTCATTTGCACAGTGTGAGAAATTGCCGTTCTAATTACTTGTGCAAAAAGTGTAAGAAAAAACATAGCTTTCTCTTGTGCTATCAAAACGAAAATAATTCCGTTGGCACCACAGTAGAAAGAGCAGACACTTTAGATCAGGAGTTGGGTGATCAAAACAGCAATGCTTTAAATGTACATGCACCTGCATTTCAAGCTAAAACTCAAAACGAAACCTTTACAGCCGTTATGGGTACTAATAGTGGGAAAAACGTTATTTTATCTACTGCCATTGTATTCATCGAGACTAATGATAGAACTTTAATTAAGGTGAAAGCGTTATGTGATAGTGGAAGTGTTTCTTGTTTTTGTACCACTGAATTAGCGGATATACTTAATTTAAAAAGGGAAAAGACAAATATTTCAGTTTGCAGTATATCAGGTATTTCAACTACAATAAAAAGAAAAGCAGTTGCCCTTATCTGTAATCATGAACAAACGTATAAAAGGAAACTAGAGGTTTTTGGTAATTCCAAAAATAGCAGGTTTAACTACCGCAAAGTTTATCGATGTTAGTAACCTTGCGATTCCTGAGAAGGTGAATTTAGCGGATCCGGAATTTTATAAACCAGAGAAAGTAAACCTGCTGCTCGGCGCGGAAGTTTTTTATGATATGTTACGAGCTGGTAAAATCTATGTTCCTAATACAGGCTTGATATTACAAAATAGTGTGTTTGGATATATAGTTAGTGGAAATATAAATGATTCACGGAGAAATAATTTATCGTATTGTGGGTTAATAAATGATAATTCAGAGAGTGAATTGAAAATGTATTTCGAATTAGAATCATTAGGAATTAAAGATGATCCTTATTGTCATGAGGAAGACAAAGCATTGGAAATATTTAATAAGACAGTTTGTTTTAAAGCTGGTCGCTACGAGGTTACTTTACCTTGGAAAAGGGACTGGAGGGAATTAGCTTATAATTACCGAGTAGCGGAAAATAAATTAAAAACCCTTGCAAAGCAAATGAATTATGACAAAACACTGTTTTCTACATATAGTGAAATATTAGATGATTATCTCAAGCAAGGTATCGTTGAGAGAGTGTCAGATGGAAATATACCTATCGGTAAACCAGTATTTTACCTGCCACACCAACCGGTATTTAGAGAAACCAGTGCTTCAACAAAGACTAGAATAGTGTTTGATGGCAGCTCACATGAGTTCGGGCAGCTATCACTGAACGATTGTCTATGGACAGGGACAAATTTAAATCCTAATATGTTCCATCTGCTAATTAATTTCCAATTAAATAAAGTTGCAATTTCAGCGGATTTAGAACAAGCATTTTTGCAGATTGCTTCGGCAGAAAGGGATCAAGACGTAGTGCGATTCCTGTTTGAGGAAAACACACAATTAAATGATCTAAAACTAGCGACATATAGATTCAAGCGCGTAAATTTTGGGATTAAGTCAAGTCTGTTTTTGTTGGCTGCAACAATTAAAGAACACATTAGAAAATATCAAGATGAGCAGCCAGGTGTATTTAAAATATTGAATTCTTGTGTTTATGTTGATGATTTTATTACTGGACAGGACAGTATAGATAAGACTCTAAGCTTATCGCGTAAAGCTAAACAAATTATGAGTGCAGCAAATATGAAATTGCGTAAATGGGTATCCAATGATCCTGAGCTGATGAGAAAATGGGAAAAAGAAGATTTTGAGATCCATCCACATAAAATCAATGACTTAAACGAGACACTTAAGATCTTGGGAATATCTTGGGATACTAATGAATACAGTCTGAGTATAGACACAGACAGTTTGATGGAATTCCTTAAGAATAAGTGTAATACGAAACGGTTCATCTTGAAAACTGCCGAGAAGACTTTTGATCCCTTTGGGTTAATAACTCCATTTACTGTTAGACTTAAATTCTTGCTACAAGAACTTTGGGTTCGAAAATTGACATGGGATGATGAACTACCTACAGATATCTGTCAAGAGTGGGCAAAGTGGTGCTGTGAATGTCATCATCTAAGTAAAATTGCAGTTCCAAGATTCATTTTGAATCCCGCCGATTCCATAGAGATCCATTGCTTTTCAGATGCCAGTCAGAGGGCGTACGGTACTGTTGTCTACGTAAAACTGCATAAACAAGAAGAAATTTCTGCGAGTTTCGTCGCATCAAAATGTCGTGTTGTACCTGTGAAAAGAATTATGTTACCTCGTCTTGAATTACTTGGTGCATTACTAGCAGCGCATTTAGGTTCTGGAGTGAAAAAATTGCTCGATCAAAAGAAATCCTCGAGAATATTTTATTGGACTGATGCCAAAATAGTGCTATGCTGGATTAAAGGTACCAATACCAAATGGAAATCTTTCATAGCCAACAGAGTTAACGAGATTAGGAAGTTAACACAGCCGACAGAGTGGTTCTATTGTTCAACAAAAGAGAACCCAGCAGATGTTATGACGCATGGTGTTCAAATTGACTTTCTTGTGAACTGTTCCAAATGGTGGTCATGCTGTTACTTTCTAACATGCTCAGAGATTCCTCATCAACACTTATCAATTGAGGTAGTTGAAGAAGTGTGTCCAAATGAACTTAAAGGGGACAATGAACTGCATAACGATTCTAACTTAGTTTTAATTGCATGTAATGAACCAAACCTCTTTAATGATATTCTTAATTTGTCTTCTAATTATACTAAACTTATTCATATTGTAAGTTTCATTTTCAGGTTTATCCATAATCTTAAGAACCCTCAGTAAGGAGGTACGGAGTACTTACTTTAGAAGAGATAAAGGATGCTGAGGTGTATATTTTATTATAGGCCCAGAAAAGTGAGTTTCTAGAAGAAATAAATCAATTAAAAAGAGGTAAGTGTGTAAACCTCAAAAGTAAATTAGCATCACTGAATGTGTTTCTTGATAACATGGGGCTAATTAGAGTGGGCGAACGATTGTCCTATTCGGACCTACCCGCTAATAGTAAACACCCTATAGTTTTACCTAGTAAACATGGTTTAACTACTATTATTTGAGAGCATTTTCATTTGTTCATTTAGGATCACAATCACTGTTACATCAGGTAAGACAAAGGTTCTGGCCGCTCAATGGCAGAAATAATTGTCGAAAGATCATCTACAGATGTGCGACATGTTTCAAGAACAAACCTATCACAGTTCAACAAATAATGGCCGAGTTGCCCAAAGAGCGTGTCACACCATCATACCCATTTAACATAACTGGTGTTGATGCGACTCATTTGCAATAAAGTTTAAGAATCAACGTGAGTTTTGAACAAAATTTATGTCGTAGTATATGTATATATGAGTACAAAAGCCATACACTTAGACTTTGTGACAGACCAAACTAGCCAATCTTTTATTTCAAGCTTAAAACGTTTTTTCTCTAGAAGGGGAAAATGTACTGGAATAATGAGTGAAAATTCTAAAACCTTTATTGGTACTAGTGTAGAACTAAAAAAAAAAAAAAAAATGCAAAAATTGGTTGAGTGTCCAGATGAGAATTTAGCGAGTTTTTATACCACTGAAGGTATAGAGTGGAAATTTATTCCTTCAAAGTCGCCAAATTTCGGCGGAATTTGGGAGGCCGGGGTTAAATCATTTAAGAGTCATTTAAAGAGAGTTATTGGTAATCAGTGTTTAACTTTAGAAGAATTTTTAACTGTTTTAACTGAAACTGAAGGAGTATTGAACTCAAGACCTCTTACTCCAATTTCAGCTGATTACAATAATTCTGAAACTTTGACCCCAGGTCACTTTTTGGTTGGTAGACCCTATCACAACTCTAGCTGAGCCAGATTTATCCAACATAAATGAGAACAGACTTTCTAAATGGCAAAGAATCACTAAGTATACACAAAAAATTTGGAAATTATGGAAACGTGATTATCTGAATAATTTACAAGAACGTCACAAGTGGAAAATTTTAAAGGATGACGTTCAGTTGGGAACTCTTGTATTAATAAAAGATGAAAATTTGCCTTCAACCAAATGGCTAGTGGGGAGAATAGCTGAGGTTTTTCATGGTAGGGATAACAAAATAAGAGTAGTAACTGTAAAATTGCCTAATCAGCATTTGCTGAAACGAAATGTTCGAGATATATGTATACTTCCTGTAGAATGATGGTTTATTTCTATTATAAACTGGTATTTGTTGTAATAATTTGAATGTATATTTTTCATTATTGTAATTTGTTATTGTGAAGTAATTTATTGTAGTGCCTTTATATTTACATTTATTGAAATAATAGCTTGAAATTGTTAATTTCAACGCCAGGAATGTTTTGTATTAGCTGAGAAATGCTTGGCGCCAGAGCGGAATCTTGGCGGAATTGGCACTGAAATGTATTCTGTGAGAAACTTGATTTTGTGGTACATTCGAAGCTGCGATTTATATATTACGCTGTAAGGGGAAACCTAGCGCCTGAAAGTCGCTATGGAAAATAAATGTATTGAAACTGTGTAATGTGTGTGGAGTTATTTTATTGTGATATATAGCTATCAACGGTAAATAGAATAAGTCAATTCACAGACTATATCTAAACTCGTCAGTAAATAATGCTCAGGCCCAGTAGTCTTGGCTCCATTGAACATGATAACGGCACCAGTTTAAACGGGCCCCTCTGGAAACTGAAGTGAGTGAGACTCAAACCATTGGTTTTCTCTCATATAATCCAACCTCATTAAGTCTTCGTGCAGCAGTAGAGCGCCTAAGTCGAAATCCTGTGGCAGCCTGAAGCTCTAAAAACCAAATCTCTTGCAGTCGCTTCATGGTTTCTTTGATTTGACAGCGACAGAAAATGATCTTATGACACAGTTTTTGCTCTTGGTCACCCTTGATCATGCTGTCTATCAACTGATCCAATACTTGAAAAGCAGCTCCAAGCTCTTGATATGACACTTTGAGGAATATTCAAATCTTGGGCGCTTGTGTTTGACTTTCCTCAATTCTACCAATTATTCAGCACTTTGACCTTCACTTAAATGATGCATTTGAGCCATAACAACTGAATACTGATCACTCTCAGAACCCACATTCACTTTAAACAACACTACAGACCAGAATTCCAAAATGACTAATGTTTCTTTTTTAGTTTCGCATCTCAAAAATATTACTGTGGCATAAGCATGCTGACTAGCATCCCAAAATACATGAAGTGTCCCGGAACTTCTATATCCAAAACCTATACGTCGCGGTATTCTCAACTTATTCAAAATTTGTAATTTGTTATACCACCTCGAAAATTTACTTTTGATATTATCTGGTAATGGAGTATCCCAGTCTGCTTTTATCACCCAAATTTCCTGTAGCTGTAACTTTGCAGGCAATAAAACAGGCGTGAAGAAACCCAAAAGATCAAGCATTGTCTGCTTTAATGACAAAACCTACCTTTTAGATAAATTGTCCAAAACCAATACAGTCTTAATTTCAATATAAAGGTTATCTTCTTTTCTGTCCCACATAATCCTTAAAACTGGTACAGAATTCTCCATTGTAGACTCGGTGCACAAAGCACTTTGGGTTAATTCCACGTCTTTTTCTACTGGGCCATAGGTCCACATACGTAAGTCCATTTTTGCTTCAGCTAATATTTCAGTAGAATATTTCACAAAATTCACAAGCTCCATTTCGTTATCAACAGAAGTCACACAATTATCAATATAAAAGGATTTATTTAATTTCTGAGCTATAGAACTTTATTCCTTTGGTACTTGTGCCAAATGAACTGAAATAATCGCCCCTAATAGGAAAGGGCTGGACTTTACTCCAAAAACTACCCTTGTATGGCAGAAAATCTTCAGAACATTATCTTTCTCCCACCATAAAAATCTTAAAAAGTCCATATCTTCTTTCCGTAATTCAATCTGTAAAAATGCACGCCGGATATCAGAGGTTATGCCAATGCATTTTTCTCTAAATCTTAACAAAATTCAAGGGATTTCTTCTATTACATTTGGTCCTTTTATTAAGTAATCATTAAGGGAGGGTGATCTATTAACTTTACATGATGTGTCAAAAACAGGTCTTATCTTAGTCGAGACACTGTCTGGTTTAAATACTTGGTGATGCGGTAAATAGTGCCCCTTAGAATTCAGTCGATTGTCTGGTACTATTTCAATTACACCCTCCTCCATCGATTCATTAAAAATTCTATCATATTCTTTATATTTATGCAAAGACTTGAGTTTTCGGATGACACTAAACAATCTTTTTCTGCTATATGACGATTTGAGGGCAATTCTGCGTTATATACTAATCAAGGTAATCCGACACAATAACGACCATCTTCGTTTCTAGAAAGAGAGTTTAAAAATTTTCCGTGGGCAATTTCTTCCTCAGCAGCGTTAGTTTAATTCTGATGAGCATCTAATATTCCGATCAATTCTAAGCTCCAAAGATCGGAGATTTTAAAGTCGTGACCCTCTAAACTTGCACACAAAATGGAAGCATCTTTATTTTTGTGATTAACAAATTCCTCCGATACACCACAAACTGTCCAACCAAGTTTTGTACAGACTGCTATTAGTCCTCCTTTTAATTGTTTAACTGATCTTGTGAAAATTTTTCCATAAATATCACTACCAATTAGCATTTCTATTTTTGGACAATCTGCTCCCAAATCCGACAACCAAATGTTGTTTCGTTTTAATTCTTTTAATATCGGACCCTTGGGTACCCGAAGTATATCCCCACATATTATGTCTTGATCTAAAAATTCAAATTCTAGATCTGAATACTTACGTGGACTGGCTGAACATAATTTTACCTGATATTTGTTATGCAACTTTGCTTCTGTTCTGGCTTGACACCAGCTACTCTTACAAATAAAGTCATTAAAGCTATGTCAGCGGTACAAGTTTGCCTGGCTGTAGTCGTGTGTATATTGTCTATTTCTGATTTTTCTGTAGGAGGTTCAGTTTCATTATTAATGTCTGAACACCAAATAACTGAGTGTGATTTACCACAAGCAAAACACCTAACAAACTGTTTACAGAACTTTGCCATATGATTTGGTTCCAAGCATTTTAAACAACATTTTTTCTCCTTAACTTTAGAAATCCCTTCATTAAAAGATAATGAACGTGCATTGTACCAATTTTTACCACAAAAAATACAAGCATGTTCTTTAGTTGTAAGAAAACCTGTGGCAGTAGGAACATTTGTTTGTTTCTTAAATTTACCTTTTGTTTCCCTCTTTGCTTTATCATGATATCCCTCTTTACGACTAACACCATCGAGTCCATTACATGCCAATTTTATTCTCTCCTCACCCTCCACTTCAGCCTTTAAAAATTTCATTAAGTTTTGTAAGGTGAGAAAGATCGTTCCTTCAGGCTGGTTAAAGAGCGAACTCCTTTAAAACATCTTCCGTGAGACACCAATTTATGTTATTAATAAAACATAGCCTCATCAATTAAAATAAAAACATTTCTTTCACTCATCCAAGATGCAGAGCAATCCAGAAAACAAAAGACAAAACTTAATTACTTACCTGAGTAGTGCGATGTTGAATCGGAATAAAAACTCGAAGAAGTTGATTTATCTAATTATATTCTATCTACACTACAAAATAATACAATACTAAAATATATACATTATTTAACAATTTCCGGGACATTTTACTGTCCTCTAAAGTTATTAAACGTCTTAATCGGTTCACGTCACGAGTTCGAAAGGGAAAAACCCTTTTTCTTTTTCCTACTTCGATAACAGCCAACGCCATCTGTACCTCGTACATCAAATGAAGAGATTTGTTTTTAATGTTTGTAAGATACTACTAATCAGTTTCCCCCAACAGCAGGAAAAGTGATGATTCACAGGCCATGGATCCAGGACAATCTACTGGCATTAAGAATATTGAAAAGAAAATAAAAATTGTTTACAATAAAAATATAATAAAAGTTATCATTTGGGTTTACTTGGAATGGAGATCAAATGTTCCCTCAACCTCAATATATTGTGTGCGGTGAACTATTATGCAATGAGAACTATTATGTAATAAGTATGAAACCTTCATTTCTTAAAAGACATCTTGAATCTAAGCATGCCAGTTTAAAGGGCAAATCTCAAGAATAATTCAAGAGGAAATTATCAGAACTCAAAAACAGTTAACAAATAATGAAAGGTTTGTTACTTCAAGTGAAAATGTTTTGGAAGCAAGTTATCTAGTAAGCCTAAGAATTGCCAAGACTGTGCAGGCTCACACTACTGGAGAAAACCTTATATTACCAGCAGCTAAAGGTAGCATTTTAACATTATTCATCAAAAAAGAATGCAATGAACCTAATAATATTCTGTTATCAAATGATACAGTAAGTTGATGAATTCATGAAATGGAAAATTTCATAAAAGAGACAATTATTCAAAAAATTAAGCACTGTGAGTATTTCGCATTGCAGTTGGAGGAAAGAACTGATATACTGAACTTTGTTTAATTATTATCACTTTAGACAAGATTATTACTTTAGATTTTCAGTTTTCAAGAAGATAAACAAATTGACAAAAAGCATTTATTTTGTGAATCTCTTCACGATAGAGCAAGCGTAAATAAAATTTTCACAGTAATTTACAATTTTATGTCTGAGAATGATATTTCTTGGATTAAGTGCATTACCGTATGCAGTGAGGGAAGTCGGGCACTGACAGGAAAACATTCTGGTGTTACTTCTCAAGAAAGTCGCGCCTGAAACTAAACTTACTCAATGCTTCATTTCATCATGAAGCTTTGGTAGACAAAACAATTCCCGAAAACCCGAAAATCATTTTGAATCAAGCTGTCAGAATTGTTAACACTTTACTGACTGCTAGCAGTTCAATAGCATCCGCACCTCTGACCGGCCACTCAGCTGCAGATTCTCCCTGTTCTGAATAACTGTCAGGACAGTCTGATAAATCATCTAAATAAAACTCTTCAACACCATTTTTTTCGCGTATCGTGAACGGTAAATTTTTTAAAAACAGTGTGAAAATGTTGGGAGGCAACGCACTCATCGCAAGTGAGCAATGTACCTCAATACTAATAATAAAATGCAGATGATACAGCAAATGGCAATTGTTTATCATCATGGCTACCGATTGATAGGCTGTTTTTAGGTAGCCCCGAGAAAAAAGCAATTAATAGGTCGGTAGGCATTGGCGAAAAAAGCCGATTAATAGATTATCGGTCTGTAGGTGTTGCCGAAAAAAAGGCCGATTAATATGCTATCGGTCGGTAGGCGTTGGCGAAAAAAGCAGATTAATAGACTATTGGTCGGTAGACATTGGCGATAAAAAACTGATTAATAGACTATCGATCCGTAGGCGTTGGCCATAAAAAGCTCATTAATAGGCGATCAGTTGGTAAAGTGTTAATTTAATTAAAAGCCGAGCTTTAAATTCAAGAATATTTATGATTTTATGCCAAGAGATGGGCAGTAAACATGAAATGCTTTTGTTACATTACAAATTAAAGTGGTTATCCAGAGGCAAAGTTTTAAATCATCTTTTTGAATCATCTATATGATTTAAAATTTGAATTGCAAAAATGTTTATTTAGTACATTATGGTTGGCGCGTTTAGCATATTTAGATGATATTTTTGGAATGTTAAATGAATTAAACTTAAGATTTCAAAGACAATGTGTTAATTTGTTTACCAGAAATAAAATAAATTTAATGATAAAAAACTTGAGCTAATAATCAAAGAATTAGATAAAAATATTTTAAGCTTTTTAGCACTTTTATAAAGTTTTTTAATAGAAAATGATTTGAAAATAAAACAAGAATTTGCATCCAACATTAAACATCGTTGTTTTTCATTGATAAATAATTTCAACATATATACTCCTGAAAATTATGAAAAAGAAAATTGGATTAGAACTCCATTTTGTTCAAATTTACTTGAAATTTCAAACAATTCACAGAAATTTCCTGTGATCGAATTCTAACCGAAGATTTCAAAAATAACACACCTGTCAACTTTTGGCTGAACTGAAAAAAAAAAGAAGTTAAATGCATTTAAAATAAATAAAATAAATTTATTGCCTTTTTGCCCATTTGTGTGAACAAGAATTTTCTTCACAAAATTCACATTTCTAATTTCACATTTGCATTTCATTTTTTTCAAAATTCACTTTCATGTATACCCAGATTATGACCCAGATTACCATGCATTTGAAAACAGCATACATTAAAAGAGGAAATACAGTAAAACACAATTAACTGAATGTTCTGTTCAGAAAAGATATACAGTCAAAAGTCTTTAATCCAGAACCGTTGAGACTTTGGTGATTCCGGATTATAGATCATCAATTTAAATCTGGTAAGATGGCATGCAGAAATTACAAAATTAAAAATATGAAACCGTAATTTATGAAATAAAGAGCAATTATGATCTAAAAGGTATCAAAATTTACAAAAAAAGAAAAAAAAACTTAATATTTATTTGTTTACTTTATTAAACATCTCTTTCAACCTCGCGCATGCGTAAAGCATACATTACACATAGTTGAAATTACAAAATTGCAACCAGAAAACTATTTGATGCGTATTCGTGATATTTATAATGACGAGGAACTTTATTTAAATTACATCGGAGTACATCGAGATGAAACACTACATTTAGTGAGGAATTCTAAGCGAATAAAATAAAAACATCTGCCCTGAAGATGAGGATAGTGCTGACAGATCAACTTCCAATTCATTGCACGCCGCGAAGTCCCCCCCCCCTCCTGCAGAGCAGCCTGAAATTGATAAACAGATTTCGGAATGGCTAGAGAAACAAAGGAGACTTTATCTATTTTTTGCAGCAATTCCACTTTTTGTTTGATGGACATCGAAACATGCTTTCCCTTTGTTGATCCTTTGGCAGCTCCAGCATCGGAAATTCTATTTGACATAATCAAAAGTTCCAACTTACTTTCATAAATTGCTCTAACAGTCTGCAAAAAATAATAAGCCATATCCAATTCGAAAATTAAGGAACAATGCAATCTGCAACAATAACTGAAATAGATAATTTATCTTAGCTTATACCGTCTGTAATACATTAAACACGCATATGTAAACGTATTATGCGCATGCGTCAACGCATTATACGTTGACGTATGCGCAAAAAGTTTGTAGCTTTGAGGTCCGGATTATGGGTGTCTGGATTAACGAGTTTTGACTGTATACTATAGAGTAATGCAACAAAATCAGTGTAGCTTTATTAATGGTAAATAATTTCAAATGTTGTAAATCTCATAGAAATTTTATAAAATCTCAAAAGGATTCAATTGAGCAACTGGGATTGTTTGACATATACTTGCATATAATCACTATAATTAGATACTTAAAAAATACAAAAAAGAGAATATTTAATAATTAACACCTACCTGATAAGCTGAGCAATGGTTTGAAAAAATGAAGTTTAAAAAATACTTTAGAAAAAAGTTCAATCACCAGTTCGCATACTCGTATGAAAAGCATTCTTTTATGGCAACTTTTTCCATAGCACAACTCTGAATAAAGAACAAACTAAGCATTAATTAAAAATAATGCCGTGAAAGTTCACAAATTAGGTTTCATTCACAGTCTTAAATTTTAATTATAAACAAAATTTTAAAATATTCTCTGACACATTAACTATTACATATGGAAAATATTTTTTCTCTGAGAAATTCGGTATAACCTTTGCATAATTTATCATGAAAAATAAAATTTTTTAAATACCTTATTCTACTTAAGTAAAAGTTATAAAAATATACAACAGATCTATCAATATTTTTAATCCATGATTTTTAATTATTATTCTAGAAGTAAAATTAATTTCAATTTGAAGAAAAATTCAAAAATATTTATATGAATATTTTTGACACCATAAATAGAACTAATTGTATGAGGTGTTACAATTAAAGAACCGGACTATTCTTAAAAAAATTAGCTTTATTAAAAACATTATACAAATATCTTTTATTTTCCTTCAACATACTCCCATTCCAAACAACTACATCGCTGCATACGAGTTTCCCACTATTCAAAGCAGTGCTGCAGTTCATTAAGTGTCACCTTCTTCAGAAAGCCTGCTGTTTTTGCCTTCATCTCTTCTACAGACTGAAAATGTATTCCCTTACCTTTCCCTTTTAGAATTATGTAAAAATTGCATGGTCCAAGATCTGGTGAGTACGATAGATACTCGGGTGCAGTAATACGTTTATCCGCCAAGAACTATTTCACAGAGAGTGCATTGTGCACTGGGGCAATCACTCAAAAAAATGGGGGAAAAATATTTGTGGCTTTGAGGTCCAGATTTTGGATCATTCCGGATAATGGACATCTGGATTTCAGACTTTATACTGTAATTCTTAAGGTTCATAGTTGAAAACACTTGCTCACATATATAAGATGAAGCAAACATAGTGCTAATTTTCTGGCCGTGAGGTATTAAACTTGAGAAACTTATTCGATAATGATTTGTAAAATTCTAGCATATTTAGAAACAACTGCTTAAGATGATTGTTAGATTGCAACTCAGTTAATTCAAGCTGCAAATCTGACCTCACTGCTTCACAATTTAGGTTGAAAGGCATGGTAAAAATATCCAATTCTGTTTGAATGGCACTGAAATCTTAAGATCTGGATATTGTTTACTTACTTGAAAAAATTTTGTCAGCCTGAAAAGTGTTTACAAAGATTTTCTGCATTTTGTTTTTTTTTTCATATTCAGACATTGCATCATAATTGGAATTCTTATGCTCAGATATGAAATGACGGGAAATGTTATATTCTTTGAAGACTGTTATAGTTTCATTGCAGATGAGATACACTGGTTTATCTTTTACAATTGTAAAAAAATATTTCCAGGTCCATTCATCATTAGAAGCATGGCACTTTATGCTTTTAGTAGCCATTTTGGGGTTGAAATATTTTACGAATAACCAAACAAGAACTAGCTACACTATACTTTTAATAATTTCACCACTATTCACAATGATGCTGTATATCCACAATCTTTCTATATGCAATCAATGATATTATAACTTACGCCAAGAGAAAAAGCCTCTGGCCGAAGTTTAAAGAGTGCAGTCTGTCACATATGAGGTCCAATTCACCGATATTGGATTCCCATACGTCTGCTCCTAGAGAAAGAGAAAACTGCTTGTTGGCACCAGTCTACAACCGCAACTAATAGAGAAGTTCAGCTTTTAACACTTTACTAATTGAAAGCTGTCTGTGCTTGCTATTTCCATCAATTTATGTTTTATGGAACAAAAATAGAGAAAGTATAAAGGTCATCAGTCCTTTGAAAAAAGAAGTAATATTTAAACAAAGTAGAAAGGAAGAGGGATATATAATATATAAATATATATTTCTTTTAATTTGCCTTGGACCGGCAAATTAAAATTCTATCTGCAGGCGGGATAGAACAGCCGGAGTTTGCCATCCCTGCCCTAGCTATTAGGTTTGGTGTGGAAGAGTAGAAAAGGAATGTAGTTGACGTTGATGCTTCCAGTGCAGGTGGCACGTTATTCCACCCCTCTACCTTATTCAGTTTGTTTTTCATCCTTGTTTGAGGGAGACGTGTTGTGTCGAAGTGCTCTGATCATGATAAACCTTGACTGATAAACCTGGCATTGTCTTGGTGCAAAATCTACATGTTGTTGCTCCACAGATCTAGCCTTTTCTACCTTACTCTTTCTCAGGACCTCAAATGTAGTACTTTGGGGTTGAGGTACCCGTTCAATTGTGGTGATACCATTAATATTGGGGGGGGGGAACCTGGATAGCATGACCTTCAGTTTGTACTTGCTCATTTGAACCTTTTTTGGTCCTTAGCGTTGTGAGAGGTCTTCCAGTGCATGAATTGTCGTTTAGTTTCAAGGTCATACTGAAAAATCCATGTTTCAGCATGTGATGACTTTTTCAATCAGTTCAGGATCTTCTGTGCAGCATTCCATGATGTCAGAGCAAATGTTTCTCTTCATTTTTTGCTCGCATGTCAGGTTTTTTGGTACCTGTTTTGCACAATCTTTCGTCATATGCAAATCTTGGGTCAAAATTTTTCTCATTGTCTCTCTGTCAATGTTTGTAATATCTGATATTATTCGAACACTCAAATATTGGTCCTTACTCAAGATTTCATTAATTTCTTTTTAAGGTTTTCATTAGTTCTTTATGTCACAGATCGACCAGAATGTTCACCATCTTCAACAATCACCCGACTTTCCGAAAACCGTTTGTGCCATTAAAAAATTGAACTACATGACATGCAGTTAATCTCCAAACACCTGCTTTAACAATTTAAAACATTCAATTGAAGTTTTTTTTTTAAATTTCCTGAAGAATTTCAAATTTATGTGCTGTTTGATGTTTAGGTTTATCATGATCAGAGCACTTCCACACAACACGTCTCACTCAAACAAGGATGAAAAACAAACTGAATAAGATAGAGGGGTGGAATACCGTTATACCTGCACTGGAAGCATCAACATCAACTACATTCCTTTTTCACTCTTCCACACCAAGCCTAATAGCTAGGGCAGGGATGGGCAAGCTCCGGCTGTTCTATCCCGCTTGCGGATAGAATTTTAATTTGCCGGTCCGAGGCAAATTAAAAGAAATATATATTTATATATTATATATCCCTCTCCCTTTCTACTTTGCTTAAATATTACTTTTTTTTCAAAGGACTGATGACCTTTATACTTTCTCTATTTTTGTTCCATAAAACATAAATTGATGGAAATAGCAAGCACAGACAGCTTTCAATCAGTAAAGTGTTAAAAGCGGAACTTCTCTATTAGTTACAGCTGTAGACTGGCGCCAACAAGCAGTTTTCTCTTTCTCTAGGAGCAGACATATGGGAATCCAACATCGGTAAATTGGACTTCACATGTGGCAGACTGCACACTTTAAGCTCCAGCCACAGGCTTTTTCTTTTGGCGTAAGTTCTAATATCATAGATTGTCCGAATATGAAAGAAAACAAAATGCAGAAAGTCTTTGTAAACACTTTTCAGGCCGACAAAAGTTTTTCAAGTAGGTAAATAATATCCAGATCTTAAGATTTCAGTGCCATTCAAACAGAACTGAATACCTTTCAACCTAAATTGTGAAGTAGTGAGGTCAGATTTGCAGCTTGAATTAACTGAGTTGCAATCAAACAATCATCTCAAGCAGTTGTTTCTAAATATGCCAAAGTTAGAGTTTTACAAATAATTATCGAATAAGTTTCAAGTTTAATACCTCACGGCCAGAAAATTAGCGCTATGTTTGCTTCATCTTATATATGTGAGCAAGTGTTTTCAACTATGAACCTTAAGAATTACAGTATAAAGTCTGAAATCCGGACGTCCATTATCCGGAATGATCTAAAATCTGGACCTCAAAGCCACAAACATTTCCTTTTTTTTTTTGCATGGGAGATTTTCACTTAAAAATTCTGATTCTTAATTTCACTTAGGCACTGAATAAAATATCTCGTTATGGAAAAACAATCAGGTAAGCATAAATTTGTGAGATTAATAATTTGGCTCCGTAGCTGAGTATCTGCTTGGCCAAACCAAAACATTCATGTATTTTATATCACTGACGCCGACCTGGCAAGTCATTATTTATTATATTTACCTTTCTTAACCACATGTTTATCAATACATGACAGCTTCAGTAATAACTCATGCAGTGATGTCTAAACTTTTTATCTATTAGTAATTGAATAACAAGAATATAGTGCCTTTTATGCTAACATTATGCTTGGCGATGATTATAGATTTTTAAATGCTCTAAAAAATGTTGATGAGGAAAAATTCAACAAAAATTTCTTTTCATATGCTAAAAATAGATTTTGTTAATGAAACTCATAGACCAAAAGATTACATTTAATGCTATTTTAATTCAGAATAACTGATATGTTATTCACCATAAACCCAGAAGCGGCAGCAGAATATGTCGGCACCAGACAGCAGAATTTAGGGAAGACGAAATTTTTGGAATTTGGGGGAGCACCAAGCGTCAATAAAGGATGAGAAGTTTTTTATGATTTAGGAAAAGCACTGGGATCCAAAGTTTAAGCACGGTGGAAATTTAGAACTTTGGAAGGCGCTTTGTAAGAAAATTTAAGACCCGTAGAGACTGCACCAGGCAGTATCTAGCGCTGGCCTTAGATAAAGCCTTAAGTATATGTGGGAATTTATTTAGGACTCAAATTAGTTTTAAGCATGTGCAAGAAATAAATGTAAGTATAATAAATAACTAAATTAATACAATCCAGGCTTAATCCAGTACGCTATAGGAGCAAGACAAAATTTAGCGAAAACAACTTGGCTTTCGTCGCCAATCTTGTGATACACAGCCAATGATGTATAGCGGATGCTATTAAGCTAGGCTAAAACTATCTTTACTGATATCTAAAAAGCAAAACCATGTTTCGATGTCCATTGAGCAAAAAGTGGAATTGCTGCAAAAAATGGATACAGGCATATCAATCTCAAAATTATGCGAGGAGCATGGCATTGGAAAGCCAACTGTACATTACATAAAAAGAAAAAAAAAAAAAGGAACTTTATGAATTTTTTGTGGAAGCAACTTAAACAACTTACATTAAAAGAAAGAAACATTTAATAAAATAAACAACTAAGTATAAACTTTTATTTTGTAAATTTTGATACCCTTTAGATCATAACTGTTCTTTATTTCATAAATTACGATTTCATATTTTTAATTGTATAATTTCTGCATGCCATCTTACCAGATTTAAGTTGATAATATAATATCCAGAAAAATCCCAAATCAGGAATTGCCGAAGTCCCAACAAGTCCGGATTTTGGACTTTGTACTGTATTTCAGAACTAGACTGACAGATGAGCATTTAGCCTCGTTCCTTAGAATCAGTACATCTCACTTCAAACCTCAATATAAGGAACTTTTTAAAATGAAAACGCAATTTCATTCATACCATTAACACATTTAAATTGTAATACTTGTATATTGCTTTTAAAATTTCAGAAAAATTTATCTTGGCCCGCCAAACTTTTATTTTCGATTTTTGGCCCGCGACCGAAAAAGTTTGCCCATCCCACCTCATAAAATATGTTTAAAAGAAATCTAAGTTCATTAAATGATTGTTACTACAGCTTGAATATAACTGAAATGTTATAATCTCAAAAAAGGAAAAAGAAAATCTGGGAACTTCCGATACTGCTATTTTGCATAATCTTCTTTAACCATCCGAGCATTATGGGTTTGGTTTAGCCCTGAAATTTCAAAGTTCCTCAAAATGTCATGAATAAGTGGTATTTTCTTGATTTTAATTTAAAAAATGACTCTCTCATTTTGCACCTTGATTCCTTTTCTTCCAATATACATCCAAAGCGAAATCAGATACATTAAATATTAGCAGAAATTTTCATGTATAATGAATACAGAAGGCAGCCTTCTATGCGGAATTTTCTGGCCGTAACGCTGAGAGGGTTAAAAAGGATATTAAATGTTTTGAAAATTTCACATACGAAAATGTTAACATCCGTTTCATGTTCTTCAATTTCAAAATGATGCAGTGCATACAGATATTTTTTTAAAATCATCTGTCTGCTAAGAAATCCATATACCTATGATAACTAATTTAACATTCAACCCCTCCCCCCATTTGCAAAGCATGCTAAATGTAAGCTTAATTTCAGAAAAAATTCTGATACTCTACCACCACTTAATCCAAGAACACCTGTAATAGGAGTTCCATTTTTGAGGTGAGCAAACAAATTTTAATTAAAAAAAAAATTAGCATGTGCACATTTTTCTTATATGTATAATAAACTTTTTGATAAAAATACACTATATTTATTTGCAAATTTTGATTGAAAACGCAAATTGATATTTTCATCAGAGTTATTTAACACTTTTTGTGTATCTGTTATTTATATTTCTGTGCTGATATTTATGGAAAACTTGGACTGTGAATCTTTACAAAATTTTCATTATAGATTAGCCTTTATTTTTGGCAATATTTTCTACTGTCTTTTAAAATAAATTCTGCATTTAAATCACAGCGAAGCAAAGGAATGGAACATTAGAAAAAATTTCTTATAATAAATCAAAAATTTGAATTCTAGAGCTTTTTATTAAGAGTTTGTATTGCTATTGATCCAGCTGCCCATGCAGGAAACATAATGACAGAACAACCTAGGGACTCAATATAGGAAAAATCTTACACAGAGGTAATATATTAAGTAGAAACTTTACATAATTTCAAATTATTCTGAATATTATTATAATATGCACGTGCCTCCTCACATACTTTCAAACAATTTTATTAGCAAAGTGAAAGAATATATATATATATTATAAACAAAAAGAAACATAATAATAGGTTATAAATTAAAGGCATAATAATAAGCTAATGTTTATATATTGTGTTAAACCTCTTATACATGGCTGCAATTATTAATATTGTTGAGGAATTGCTTTGCTTTGATTCCAATTTAATTTTAACTTCAGATGCTTTAAGTTTATGTGTGTGTATATATATATACACACACACTCTTGCTTACAAAATAAGTAACAAGGTAAAACATGAAATAATAATGAAAAAAATAATGGATATGCATGAAATAAATCCAAGAGGTTGACGAAGCATCACTAGACCACACAGCAAACAATACAGCAAAAGACATACAAAAACACATGTATTAAACCATCACATCATGAAAGACCAAATGGGTTTGAAGAATGTGCAACGAAAACATCAAGCTAATAACAGGTATGATACCCTCTAGCTGAAATGCATGTTTCACAACAGTGAGGCAAGTTGGCAATAGCGTCACTGACAGCTTTTTATGGCAGTAGTGCCCGTTCCTGTAGTAATACATGTTGAAACTTGTGGAGGATGCCTGGCAGCCTGTTATCTATCATTCTAACGTCCCACACATACTTTATGGGATTCACATCTGGTGATCTAGCCACAACAGATGTGGAATAGCTTCATTCTCAAGATAACTCTGCACTACTCGTGCTCTATTATCACCTATAAATATAATGTCAGCACCCACTGCAGCAACAAAAGGATGTGCAAGAGGGTGCAGAATTTCGTCGTGCTATCAGACAGCTGTGATGGACCCACCGGGAATAGCATAGAGGTCAGTGGTGGCTGTTCGTTGTTATCCACACCCATACAAGTAAAACCTCCTTCTCCGTAATAGTTTCTTTTGACAATGTTTGGCATCTGATAGCATGTTCATGGGTCTTACCATATCACTGCTCTTCAGAAATTGTTCTGGATGTTAAACTGAGACTCATCCATAAAGAGTGTGTGGCCCGTACTCTTTACACATACTGAATTTTAAAAGAGAAGTAAGATACATGCTCAAATGATTTTTTAGAATATTTAAACAGCTATCATGATTAAATAAGATCAGTAATTGTAGATATCAATAATTGTAAAATATATAATTACCTCTTATTAGTTCATTAATAATGCCCTTTCTTCTTTCAAGACTAGGAGTGTTTCTTAAAAACACAAGCAAGCTATAAGCTGCAGCAATTCTGCATGGAATAGGACGCTTAGAGCAGGGGAGAAGACACAACAGAATATTAAATTAATTCACATCAAGCCATACATCAAATATAAATCAAACATTTAAACAAATTATATGATTCACAACACCATAAACTGTGCAAACGGTTCATGTATAGATAAAGTCCATATATTTATTTTTATTACATACATAATCATTGAGCAAAGATATACAGAGAAAATTTAAATAAATAAAACATTTGCTTTTCATTCTGTAACTGCACTTTAATAGACAGCATTTTATGTACTTTAAAAATATATTTTTTTTGTAATAAATATTAAATTCAAAATATTATCATGAAGAGAGCAATTACATTAACTGTACCATTGAAGAACAGCAATTTCACTGTCTTAGATCTATCATATCATCACGTGTTTTTGACTAACTTTATAGCCTCTGAATCCAAAAAATAATCTCAGTTTTTGCCTATCACATCAACTTTTTAAGCTACTGGATACCCTCTCTTTGTCTCAAAAGTCATATAAAGGTAAAAAAGGGAAAACTTACCAAATATTCTGTTCACAAAGAATAGTTTTATTCATACAAAGGCTAAACATAATTACTGCAAATTAGATTTCGTTCATACAAATAGTATTTTTTTTTTTTTTTTTTTTTTTTTTTAAGTACAAAACAGACACACATTATGGTAAATGTTTTGCTTATGGCCTTTTTATGGAGTACTTAATCTATAGACATTCTTGCTTGATGCTCCAACAACATTCAGACCTCATATGTACATTCAATCAACCTTGGTGCTGTGTCTCCATGACTTTCAAATCTTGGCAGAATTGCTCACCCTGTTCATCGTTGACTGCACCAAGATTTTTCAGGCAGTTTTCAAGACGCCCATGCAAAAAATGCAATTTGATGCTCATGTCACAACCAAGCGTTTTGAAGCTTTTCAAAAGCTGCTAGATAATCTTGGTGCAATTCTGTGCTCATGCATTTCCAAGAAAGTCTTTGACAATGTTTTTTAATGCCAATCAGACACTCTTTTGAAGTTCTATTATTGTTCTGATGAAATGTTCATCTTTAAAAAGCTGCCACATATGTGCAGCATCGAACACACCGGCATTTAACTTTTCAAATGACAGGCTAGGATATGCCAAAATGAGATACTTAAAACAGTTCAATTGGCAAAGCTTTAACAAATTGCTTCAAGAGATACAGTTTTATATACAGAGGTGGAAATTATGGCGTTTGGGCTTCCCTGCTCCGAGTAAACTTAATCTCACTGCAGGTCCACTCTCCCTTTGGGCACGTCTTGGAGGTTCAACCTCCACTATTACCCTCCAGAAGAACAGCGCACCACCTGGGGACGGGCCCCAGGCAGCACCGGTCGTCTAATGCTCCTACCAGTCGCTCGGGCGAGCCCGTCGCAGCGGGACATTACCCAGCGATCCCGGGGGAGACCCCCGGGTTACTAGCACCACGCCGCGCTAGGACGTGCCAGACTCCGGGGCCGGCCAATAAGTGACCTTTCCCAGAGCCTTCAGAACCACCAAGTTCATAAATTTTATACCCCCGTGGCCGAGACTGCCTAGGTACAGATCCTAGCCAGTAGCTTCGCAGAATTCTCTACGTCGACCCCCGGACGTAGAGAAGAGCTTTTAGGACCAGAGTAGACCAGAGCTTTTAGGACGGTCTCGACGGAGGTTCTGTGCATACTTGCCGGTGTGCCCCCTCTCTCGATTTTTTACCAGTTTTATTTTGAAAAATTTTTACTAAGTAATGGATTGAGAGACTCTTTTAATTATAATGATTTTAAAGTTTGTGCCAATTTTATTAAATATTTTAATCCAGAGAGTGTTTCTCCTATGGACTATTGTAGCATTAGTTTTGATTGCAATAAATTGGACCTACAGGAAATTGAAATTTATACGGATGGCTCTGGCTTCGAGGGGGGAGTCGGTTCAGCCTTTGTTGTCTATTTTTATGGACTTGAGATACATGTAGAGAAATTTAAAATGTCTGAACATAATTTAGTTTATCAGGCTGAGATGGCTGCTTTGAGGGAAACTCTTAACTGGATATTAAGAGAACTTACTAAGAGACACTGTATACATATATACTCAGATGCCCTATCTGTGCTAACGGCTCTCTCCCGGCCAGAGCCTAAAAATGAAATTTTGGAAGACATTAAAGATCTGTTTAAAAGAGCATTAGGATATCATGTTATCCATGTTCACTGGATTAAAGCACATATTGGACATCCTGGCAATGAGAGGGCGGACGCACTGGCAAAGGAGGCTGCCCTGGGGGATGGTATGGATTATTTTGATGTAAGACCGGCTAGAAGAAAGATGATCTCAATTATGAAGAATTTTTACTATGATAAATGGAAGCAGGTTTGGTCTACCTCTATTAAAAGAAATAGGTTCTTGAAATTTATTGAAGTTTCAAACAGAATGAAATGTTATATGAATATTGATGCCAACCAGATTATAACCAATCACGGAAGATTTCCCTTCTATTTACATAGATTCCATCTCCAGGGCAACGATAAATGCCGCATTTGTGATAAGATCGGTGACGCGGATCACTTCGTCGAGTCGTGTATTCATACCCGGGGTGTGAGGCTTAAGTATGGAGACAAGAAGATTGAAGAAATGATCGTAAATAGTAACAGATTTAAAGATTTTGCTCAAGAAATAATGAAAATTATTAATGGCAATAAAGAAAAGATCGGAATTGAGAGTTAAGATCTTCTGACCTATTCAATAATTTTGTGCTCATTCGAAGGCTGATCAAGATTTTACAAGAAGTTCTTTTTATGTTTTGTATGAATGGTTCTGTGTTGTTTTGTCTTGGTTTCATGTTATTACTAACTTTGTGGATTTTATTATTTTCCGGGCCTGTCCCATTTTGGCCATGTGGCCGATTTAAATCGGCTGGGGGGGGGGCCGGGGCTGCGCCCATACAAAATACAAAATACAGAGGTGGAAATTAAAGTTCTTTCTGTAAGCAAGTGGCTGATGTAGAATGTTTGGTTCACCAGGTTTCAGGTCAGATCTTGTGGCCAATTCAATTGCATCCAATGCATCTCACAAGCTCTGCTGTCCCACATAGACAAAAAAGAGGGATACCTGGTATATACACGTTGCTAGTGAAAGATGAAGCAGATCATTTTAAGGTCATCACAGATGATCCATTGGTGCACACTGATGCAACAAAAGAATGACTTTCTTTTTGTCTTTATATCCTTCACATAAACAAACTGAATGGCCTGTTGGGACTGCACCAAATTAATTTTCATTGTGGAGGATGACATACTTCAAGCTTCGCTTTGAGCTATCGATGAGCAATCACAACTGAGTTGCATTATAGGCTGAAAATACGCTTTCATTAAACCATATATGTACAATCCATCATCACTTTGAATATATTGCAGAAATGCACCTTCTCTTGATCAAAAGAAGGATACCTTAGTTCCTCTTTCAAGCAAGTTTTTCTCATGCAGTCTTGATACTAACAGCTCTGAAGTTTTTTTGAATAGTTCCAAATTTTGTGACAAATCATTCAGCTCATGCTGGTCAAACCCCTTATGAATGGAATCATTTTCAATTTCAAAATCTTTGTCTTTTGGATCAATTCGATATGCATTCAAATCACATTCCTGTATTTTTAAAATGGTAATTCTTTGAAAACTAGCACTGAGAGTTCAGCTGAGTGAGGCACTGGGCATATAGTTGATGGTAAATTATGAAACTCTATTTTACATTTGTTTTCTTGTTATATCCTGACACTTTCACTATACAAAAATAACAATAACTTGAGTGATCTTTGGGTTCTCCCCAAATCATAGTATACCAAATGGAAATTAAGAATGGGTTCCCTTCACCCACATCCGTTAACTCTCGACACACTGGTTGCACACTTTGCAAGAGGCCCATGATTTATCTTGATCACCAATTTTCAATTAAAAATAAGCAAAATAGGCTTGTCTAACAAATATGTTGATGTTTGCTCTTGGACTGGGAATAGCAAAACTGCCACATATATAAAAAAATTAATCAGAGCTGTTTAAACACTTACAACATGAACTATCAGAGGCAGACATAAGGAAAGGTTTCAATTCATATATAAATAAAACTAAATACTGCTAACCTTGTACACAAATGAGAACTCAGATTCCAAACTCGAAATTAGAGTTGGACAACAGGCCTCAGAACTGATTCAAAGAACCAATTCACTTTACTGAGTGAATTTACTCCAATTCCAGAAAGAGTTATACCTCTTTCACAGTTCATGAAGAGTTCTTGGTAGAAGTATACCAGAAATAGATACTTGCTAATCCCTCAGGGTTCAAGTATCTCTTAACTGAACGCGTTTATGCCTGATTGGCAAAAAAAGAATGTTTATACTCCCATGTTAAAATTGAGTTTAATTTCCATCATTTCCCAACTTTTTGAAAAATTTTTTATTGTAGAATTTTATAGTTAGTTATCTGTAAAAAGCAGGTTTTACAGAATTTCAAAACTACAGTTAAAGAAAATCAGTTTAACTGAGTCAATTCTTCTAATTCTTTCTGTTTTCCACTCCAACCTTGTCAACTGGTCTCAATCTAACTGCTCGTTCAATTCATTCCACTCTTCGCTTTGTCTTTGCTAACTGCTTCTGATTAATCCCTCATCCCGGACCTTTATCATCAAGGTTATGGTTAGTGAGTGGCGAGTTATGAAAAAGAACCAATTCATTTCAGCGAGCAAACCGTTCTGATCCAAACCCATAAAAGAGTGATTTTACTCATGTCTAATCAGACTGCACTTCACTATATCAGAGTGACACACAATGTCTTACTACAATATCTCAGAGTAACTAAACTAATCTGAACTAACTGAAAATTATATACCTGTTGCTGGTCTTCTATGGCATCATTTACCTGGCATCAATTGGAGGGTTTATGCCAGCCAATAGAAGATTATTAAATAAACCTTCCTGTGATTTGCACTCGATGCCATGAAGAATGGTCACACTCAAATATGGCGTAGATAAAAAATTTGATGCGGTAGAAGAAAACTAACTACTGTTTTGAAATCATCATGCCTATTTAACTCTAAAACAGCTCAAAAGTTGAACTCAACAGAAATTGTACTACAAATTGTTCCTCAGTGTAATTTATCAGGTGCTCTAGGGATATCAATCAGCTAGATAGTGATATTTATCATAACATTTTAAGCACCAGAAAAGTTAAATATCCCCCCATAAGATTAGTAAAAAATGCAAAATAACTTACAGATATATGAAGCTTTACAAACAGTAAAGGCACAAATGTTGTAAAAATCGTTTCTGATGATATACAAGAAGGCAAACATGAAAGACAAGATAACAAATCGGCATGAAGGCGCCAGCTGCTGGTGACAGATGTAGCTTCTTCACAAGCTATAAGAGCTTTTACCAAACTATCTTCTCGATCATCCTTAAATGATAAAAGGGGAAAAAAAGAGCAACTATAAAAGGTTATAAATAATTATAGTATTATACAAAATATAAAACTGCTATGAAGCTGACACATACATCACATTTCTTAAAAAAGGGAAAACAAGTTAATAATGCATAGATTGATAAAAAAATAACATGCAATTTACTGTAGCTTGGTATTGGGCACTAGCTAACTGAAATCTTTTAGGCAAAGAGTTTGGCCTTTAGAACCTAATCTATAGATAATTTTTATTTCTTCCTTTACAAGTAAGCCACAATGGATGATGAATGTTAAGCCTTACTAATATGCAGTGATTCATTCCTCTACAAATTCAGGAACATTAAATCACAGTAAGCTGTTCCTAGTCTGTGAGGAGAGTCCAATGAATATGTGTCGATGGCTTCAGGGGTTTCTGTGACCCCCAAAGAAATTTTACACAGCCACAAGTACATTCCCCATAAATTAATTGGTATTGTATTGTCATTAATTATTATGACGAAAATTCAAAGAAAGGTTTATGATTTTTATGATCTGGAGCCCAATTTTGCATTAGCTTCATTACCTGTACGAATAAATGTGAATAAAAAATGTGAGTAACATTTTTATTCACAAGAATAAATGTGAGTAACACGCCAGAAAGACAGTAAATAAGGATAATTAATTTACACAGTGAATATATCTTATTCAAAGATTTGAAATTCAGATTTGGTTGACTCTTTTTTGTACTTGTCAGCAAATAAATACCTTCAGTTAAGAATTTTGTAATAAGGATAATCACTTTGTTTGGGAGTACATGTATATGTGAACAGCAGCCCCCTTACACATAATTAAAAATTAATAAGTCTAGAAAAAGAACCAAATTGAGCAATAAGCATCATGATGAAGATAGTTTCTGGCAATTTTTCTTCAAGGTTATCTTAATCAAAATTGAAATGTGATGAGATCTTGTAGCAAGAAGAAAAGAAGTTTATAATTATACAAATATATATATATTTAGTGTGTGTGTGTGTGTCAAATAATTAAATTTTATAAAGAGCATAGTTTGTTTTTATGTAACATATATTAAGAAAGAAAAAATTTGAAAAATCTTTGTAATTTGTTTATTTTTGGTTTACGTTAAATGTAAGTCACTCAATGATTTAGTCAACACACTGGAATTATTTGAAATAAATATTAAGCAGAAAATTTATCTGTTAATACTTTTAAATTACAAAGTGTGAAAATCAAAAATTTCCTGCAGATACCAATCCCCAGAATTTGGAAAGAAAATAAATATAAATTATAATTTTTTGCTTGGTGTAATTATTAGGTACTTATGGAAAATCCTGTAGACCATTTTTGCCTTTTAAAGAAATGATGCCAAACTATGCAATTTTTCACCAAAAATGGAAAAGTCTTCTTCAAACGCACTGGATTTGGTGTAACCTTGATTACACGTGTTAGTTATTATTCTTGAGTAAAGACTCTTTTTACCTCTATCACGCATTTTCGAAAATAAATAAATAAATAAATAAAAGATTAAAATTTGGGACCTGCCTACTACAAAAGGGCATGCTATTGAATATTTCCAAAGTTATGGAATCTTACCGGCCTCAAAAAAATGCGTTAATGGCCGTGAAATGGAGCTTTATTTAAAAACTGAGAAGCAATAATAAATAAAAAATAGTTGAAATTTTTAATGAAAAATTTAATATAAATAAATGATAATATAATAAATTTGAAAGAAAAATAAGAATAGAACGTTTTTTCTTGCATTCAGTAAATAGGTTTTTCTGGTTTGGCGTGACAGGTGCCGTGGTCGACAAGATTTTCTGTAAGTACCAATTATTATTACTGTTTGTATATGTTTCAATACATATTTAGTACATACAGTTCAAAATTTGGTTTTATGAAAAAAATTTGTTTCGTTAAAAGAAATCAGCTTATCAGCTGCTTTCAGACTGAGCATTCAATCCACAGGCAATTTGAATTTGAGACCACTAGGGCACAAATTTAAAACTGTCACAACCAGAAAAAAACACATCAATCAGTGAGGAGTTCATCCAAAGTGATAGATACACCACCATATGACTCATGGAGCACACAGGAAACACAAAAGGATTCGTGCTAATACTAACCCAATAAGTGGGATATAGAAAAATTTATTCTCGCAGGGTTCCACAGTTCTTGAAAAAGGAGATTAAGCAAATCAGGAAGAACATTTATGATGACCTTTTACAAATTTTCTCTTAGGATTGTCCAGAAAGCTTTCATGGAGTCATCACGTGCAATAAAACCTGGCTGTTTCATTTAGATCTTGAAAGAATAAAGGCAGTCAATGGACTGGACATGCATTCGTGTTATGGAAATAAATATGCAATCGAATAAAGCAAATGGATCATATGTTAAATGACATTTTCAAAGGACACTTTAACAACAAATTCTCATTTCTCTGGTGTTTACCATTATTGAGCTACAATTGATTGTGTATTACTTTTGTACTGACCTATGTACATACTCCTCTCAAACATTGCATCCGTTCAACATTAAGAACATAACATTTAACACTGCACCATGTCACGAATTCTCAATTTCATTTTATACAGTAAATCTCTTATAATTAGCAAATAAAAGTTATTAAGTAATTTTACAATTATTCATTAAATTTTACAAAGTTCAACTTTGATAAAATATACCTTAAATTGAAAAGAGAGCTGAAACTGACAGTTAGCAATTAAAAAATGAATAATTTAAGCATTATGTTCTTTTTAAAGATATCATATTTTTTCATGAGAGAAAATAATACAAACTCGAAAAGTAAAAGAATTTCATGTTAAGTACTCGATTACAGAACTGGTAGATAAAAAGAAAATGAAAAAAAGTTCAAAAACATAATATCAATATATATTAATTTTTGGAAACAAAGTTTTAAAATTTTTTTAAAATTTGCAGCTCAGACTGAAAACTCAAATAAATGAAAATCTGATTTTTTTCTTAAAAAATCAAAAACTATGCGTAACCATAAATTAAGGATAATACAATGATGAGCATATTTTATCCACGCTTAACAAACACAGGTTACATTATAATTAAACTTTTCATTATTAGCTAAGTAAAACAAAAAAATCACTACATTTAAAGCAAAAGCTCATAAAAACATGAAAATGGGCAAAGACACATTTTTATAATAAAGTTCTGTTTAATGAAATCTACAGTTGAATTTTAAGAGGAATATAAGAATACTGACTTCTCAAATCACGCAACTGGATTACTCAATGTAACTGTATAGAAGAGTTTTTGAACAGAAAAGTTTATCAGATTATGTAAACATCTGGTAACATAGATAGGGTTGAAGATTAGTTTATTACAAAATTTGAAACAAGTTGGCAAGGTAACAAAATATGTAAGAAATAAATGTATAATTCGGTGGTTTTATATCTTTAATGCTCCTTCCCTCCTTTTCACTCCACAAGTTTCTTTTTCTTTTTTTTTTTTCTTTCTTTTTCTTTTTTTAAATTTAAATCGAGCATTCTAAATAATAAGTAAACTTAAAACTGAAATATAGTATATTATAAATGGTTTCACAAATTTAAAGTTTGTTATATTAACAAACATTCATTACTTATAAATTTATTAATATATAAATTATTATTACATTTGATAAATATAAATAAAATATTACACTGATTTTTCTATGCTTACAAAATACCTAAATTTAACTTTTTCAGTCCGCTTAGAGCTCACTGATTCTCACAGATTTCAACCAGCCCCTAGCTGATTTCTGAGCTTTTTAATTGCAATTTCAGATAAAAAAAAATCTATCCTCAAAACTGAGAAATCTCCCATAGAAAGGAATTCCCCACCATTTCAGAATTCCTGGTAAAATTATTATTAAAAAAAATTATTATATTATTACTATATAATTATTTTAATGAAATTACACAGAATTTTTTAAGAATGGAATACTTGTAAAAAATATAGCTTAGATATATATTATATTATAAAATGTCTTATATTTAAATTAAAATCCATATATTTTAATTAATAAATTATAATTATTGCCTTTATTACTAGAAACAAATCAGACTAGAAATACCATACATATATGAGCTATGTTGTATAATCATGCATAATTCTTGACTTACTTTGAACTTAAATTCACATTAATAAGAATTTCAAGAAGAATGTATCAATTCATCTGCTACAGAAACTTAATATATTCACATTTATATGAATGGATGGATGTTTTCTGTTTTAAATAGAATTAACTCTTGTAAATTTTAAATTTTGATTAATTTAAACAAATGCTAAATCTCATATAAAGAGAAATGATTTCTAAAATACTTTCAATGATTTAATCTTCTAATAAAAGTTCTGCTAGTTCAGCAACAAATGCCACCCATATATTTCTTTAATTTTGTTCTTGAGAATGATAGAAATATGCATATACTTACTCCATTATTAATTGGTGATTCTAAAAGGCAACAAACAGCTTTTAAAGACTCCGGAAGACAAGGAACCAGCCCTTTCAAAACCTTAAAAATCAATCAAAATAATATATATATATATAAAAGCACACTTTTTCATAAAAAGAACCTACCTCAAGTGAGAATACATTTATTCACAAGACAAATTTTAAGTCTTAAGGTTTAACTGTATTTGTATAGCTAGAAGAAAACAATGAATTTAAATTATTTGAAAAATTATACTACTCATATTTTGCAAGGGAAAATAGAAACATCTTCCCCCTAAATTAAAGAAATTGCATAATCACACTTTATGCTTGTTTAAATCATATATTTGGAAAATCAAGACAATGAAGACAACTTTATCTGTACACATTTTTTTTTTTTTTTTTTTACTTACATATTATCATAACCACCTTAATAGAGGTCACCAAAATTTTCAGGACATGCCAAATCATGATAACCATGCATGTAACAATTTAACAGTTTTAACAAGCAATGCTGCTATTTTTGTATGCATTCTTAACGTTTTAGTCTAAAATTTAATCAACAAATCATGATATTTTTCATCTTAGATGCAATTTTAAAACATGTGTTTGTGGAATTTACCTGCAGTGGAAGAAATAGCAATAAAATGTCTGTAGGAATATGGTATTTTTCTGCAAAATTGTTAATGGAAACAACTATTTTGAATTTATTCTTAAAGAAATCACCATAAAATTTCTGCCCAAAGAAAAGAAACAAAAACTGAAAAAAATCCAGATATTAACATTACACCAGATGTTTTGTTAAGGTTTCATATGCCCTTGCTAAGCTCTCAGTTTACCAATCTGCTCTTGGACTTACTCCTGCTAACAACCCTTTTTGGTCTTAAAAACTTTATAATTAAACAATGCTTTTTATGCATTTATGCCACATAAAATTCAAGCATAAAATCACAAAATGTTTAAAAGCGTCATATCTTTAGAATTCCTAATACAGTGTTCATTGTTAACATTCATTTCTTTCAGGTTTTTCTCAGTTCTTCATATCAACATTCAGTTTTCTTAGTAAGAAGATTTATACATTTTTTTAGCCTTTTTTATAAATAACTTTCTGCCTTTACTCAGTAAACATAATTTTCTTCGAGCTTATGCCACATAAAATGCAACAGCAAAACCACAACATATTTAAAAACAACACATCTTTAAAATTCTCAATAGAGTATTGCTATATATATCTTTATACTTGCTATATTATTTCTTTAAAAATGCATGGTATTAACATTTAGAGACAGCATCCTTTTATATGTGTAGCCATCATTTTTTTAACATCCATTACATTTTTCTTTAAAAATAATTCATGGTGATAACACTGGGTGCCAACATCCTTTTAATTGAAAAGTGAGGAATGAGACTAATGCTAGAAACTCTCTTCTGAGTGAATCAATCAATCGATTATTTTCAGGATAAAAACTAATTAACAACATAAAATATATATAGAAAGAGTATTATTTATTTTTCCATCTGTAAAAAATTTCCAAACTGCCCCTAGTTGTCTGTGCTAATACTGTAAAGCACACCTTATTTTTTCTTTTATAAAATTGACTCTTGACATAAAAACTGGCTCAAAATGGACTGAAATATTTTCAAGAGAGAAATGCAACAAAGTACCACTATCAATGGCTTTAATGAATTTTGGCTATCAATGGCTTTAATGAACTTAATTTGGCTCAGATGGCTGAGCTTTATGTTTTGTTCAAGTGCTGTATGCACATACAAAGTTTGTTTTGAACTTCTACCTTGAATTAAAACAAGAAGTAACATAATAGCAACTTATGAGGAAAATATAATGAAACAAACATTTCTTACTACATGAAGTAATTAAAAATTATGCGTGCTTTATTAGAAATGCCAGTGTGTAAGACTGAAAATAACATGCATGCTTGAAACCACTGAAAGTTAGTTTTCCTGCATATCAGCTGACCAACCAAAACGATTTTGAATTTCAGATATTTCTCTCTTGTATTGGAAAAAATGGCAGTGAATGAAATCTTTTACCTTTGAATTTTCGAGAAATGGGGGAAAAAAGTTAATTCAGTCTTTTAGTAGATCTTGAAAATTAACAGGAAATAAAATATAAGGAATATGTATAAATGCAATTTTTTTTTTCACCTGAATTTCCTTATTTCCTCATAAATGAAAAATCATTCAATCAAATTTTTCTTTCTTATAATATACAATTACTTATATCCAAGTGCTTTTACATATCAAGAGACCACTGCTGTGGATATATCATTAATAGGAAATGATGCGCAGAGAGAACTTAAAAAAAAAAAAAAAAAAAAAAAAAAAAAAAAAAAAACTGGATAATTAATTTATCATTGCATAATTGTTTTCTTATTCCTAGATTCCTGAGTCTATTGCCTCTGACCTACAACAAAAAATCATATTTAAATTATACTTCAGGGTTTGCTACATGTGAATCAAAATGTTGTCTAATTCACAATTTTTAGCACGAAAGACAGAAAATAAATTTTCATCAAAGCATAATTCAGAATCATCTTTTCCTTTCTCTCTATTTCACAAGGAAATATTACTATACCATAAAAATGATTTAAATTAGCAACAACAGTTAAACAAACCATATACAAATACAGAGTAGCTAATTTTTTTAAATGCGTTTCTTATGAGGACACACATTTACGATATGCTTTAACCTAGATGGTCAATCTTTCCATGTTTTTTTCTTTTGGAAGCTCCTACAACATAAAATAAAGCTCCAAATGATGGATGGATTTTAATAAACCATTAAGAAATTTAATAGATGATATATAATTAAATGTTTTTTTTTTTTTTTTTTTTTTTTTTTTTTTTTTATGTCGACATTACAGTCAAAAGCCTAACTGACCTTGGTGCTTACTTCAATATCAATGATGATTGGACTGCTCAATGTGCTATTGCAAATTTTGAAGAGTATATTCTCTTTTATTAAGCTGTCAAGTTTGAGTTAGACAAAAGGAAAATTTTGTGTACAGTATAGGTATATTTTCAGCTAGTGTTAACTGATTCATTGGACGAATGAAAAATATGACCTGAAGTTTATTGCACCCTGCTAAACTTTCTTTAGAGAAAAATATTGAAAAATATAATTGTTTTTGACCCTCACAAGAAAAGGAATTCAGCAGACAACCCTAAGAGTGGAAGACAGGGAGGAATCTATAAAACACCACTCAGACAGGATAATTGTAAAGAAACTGACTGGTGATCCCCTATTTGAAGTATCCACCAATAACCACTATGAAATTCTCAGTACTGATGAACTTACGGAAGTGGTTCAAAACTCGACAATAAAATCAACCATGCTGCTGCTGACAAAGAATTGCATTTTTGCTCCACATACCACCTTCAAACCCAGAGCTAGCTACACTTAGTTTTTAGCATATAGGACAGATTCAACCAAGTTCTTGTGGAGCTCATAAGAACACATAAAGATCATCCTTGCCTCATCTGAGGATAAAGAAAACCAATCATGGGGCGCAGACTTAAGAATTCTGCAATTTCTATATTCCAACTCAAGATTTCACCAAGGCTATAATTAAAGATTTATTCACTAATACAGGCTGGGCAAACTTTTTTGGTTGCGGGCCAAAAATCAAAAGAAAAAAGTTTCAGGGGCCAAGATAAGTTTTTCTAAAATTTTAAAAACAATATACAAGTATTACAAGTTAAATACGTTAATGAGACAAATGAAATTGCGATTTCATTTTTAAAAGTTCTTTATACTGAGGTTCGAAGTGAGACGTACTGATTTAAGGAACAAGGCTAAATGCTCATTTGTCAGTTTGAAATAATTCTTTCTAAGGTTTATAGTTGAAAACACTTGTTCATATATGTAAGATGAAGCAAACATAACACTGATTTTCTCGGCATGAGATATAAATTTGGGAAACTTACTTTCGATAATGGTTTGTAAAACTCAAAATTTGGCATATTTAGAAACAACTGCTTGAGATGATTGTTAGATTGCAAATCAATTAATTCAAGCTGCAAATATGACCTCACTGCTTCACAATTATGTTGAAAGTCATGGTAAAAATATCCAGTTCTGTTTGAATGGCACTGAAATCTGCATTAGAACTCAAAATACAGTTTTTTTCAAGCCATCTTCATAATTCCTAAGCTTCTCTTCATTTATTGAGGGTATTGAATTAAACCTTCGGAAATGAGACAAGTCTTTCCTAGCTAGATGCCCAGCAAACAGATTAGTTAGTTTTAAGTTAAGATAATTAAGATTAAGTATTTTCTAAGAGGCCCAATTCACCTACGTAGTGTATTCAGAAACTAAGTACCGATTCATTCTAGCGCCGTTGCAGCGCTGTGGTAGGCGTCCCGTGCATGTGCACTAGTCTTTCTTGTTCACTGACTTTCAATTGTCGCCATTTTGGTTGCTCTATGTTGTGTTTTCAGTTTGCTGTGCACATTCAAAATGTGTAAGACAATTAGTTCTCCCGCTGACTGTGAGATTCGTGCCGTGATTAAATTTTTTAACACGAGGAATGTTAAACCGGCCGAAATTTATCATCAAGTGACAGAAGTTTACGGTGAATACACGATAAGTGATGGAATGGTGAGAAAGTGGGTAAGAATGTTAATGCAGGTCGAACAAATTCCACGTCGAGGCTCGGAGTGGTGGCCTTATGTTGTCACTGATGATTGGTAAGGAAAGTTGATGAAGCAATTCATGAGAACAGACGCTCACAATGACAACTCTTTCAGAGGCATATCCACAAATTCACATACTGTTTTGTCGAATTGTGTCTGACCGCTGAATTATCGCAAACTGTTTTTCGATGGGTTCCAAAAATGTGCACTGATGTTCACAAAACAAAATGAAAATGCTGTGGAGTTGTGTTTATCAAAACTGGCGGGAAGTTTCTTTGACGATGGTATACAAAAACTGGTCACCTGCTATGACAAGTGTTTGATCATTGGCAGAAACTATGTTGAAAAATAGTTTAAGACATGTATTTTCATGTAAAAATAAGATTGGATTCGAAAAAATTGTTTTACTATTTTTTTTTTAAATGATACTTAGTTTCCGAATACGCCTCGTATATTGGATTCCCATATTGAAAGCTGTCTGTGCTTGCAATTTCCGTCAAATTATGTTTTGTAGAACAAAAATAAAGTAAAAATATCATCAGTCCTTTGAAAAAAAAAATTTAAACAAAGTAGAAAAGGAGATGGATATATAATATATACCTCTTTTAATTTGCCTCAGGCCAGCAAATTAAAATTCTATCCGTGGGTCGGATAGAAGCTTCTGGCAGGCTGTAGTTTGCCCATCCCTGCTCTAATACAAACTCTGAAACTGCAAAGATGAAATTTCCTGGCTTCCTTGTCATGAAAAGTAGCACAGGTGAAATATTTTAGATCATAAAAACCTCTTCCCAAGACAGAAATCTTCTGGTTTTTGTGATATCTGCAAAATAGGTTTTCTTTGCTTCACATCCTAACAGGAATTTTCGCTAATGCATAAAATCTTTTTAGCCTGAGGAATCTTCTTCACAAACAAGATTGAAAAACACAAGAACAACCACAGAGTTAGTTCAATGTCATATTTTCAGTAGTTCTACCATAATTAAGCAAACTATAAATTGAAATCAAGATGTGCAATCCCTTAGTTTATTGCAAAATATTTATTAGTTTATCTTTAACTCAGTGAACAAAAGTTAACATAACTACACATATTTGCATCAACTGCAGAACCTATGGACACCCAGAAAGCTACATAGACTACCCCATACATCCTCTGCAAATTACCAGGATAAGAAAATAAGTTCCTGAAAGCCATGGAAAGGAATATGATTCTGGAAGGAAGAATAATGAAATTCCCTGCTCCTGGACTTGTAACATGAAAAAACACACAGAACTGAAGCCCAGAAATTAAATATTGACAGAATTTCAGCTAAATATACTTTCAACAACCATTATGATTATTTAACAGCTTTGCTTAAAACTAATGAAAATCATTTACAAAATCAGTGAAGCATATCGTAGTAAATTCCTTTACAGAAAATTCCAAATGCTAAATAAAAGCCTTCCAGAAAATGGAAAATGTACTGATGATACAGAAAAATTATGATCATATTGCTTTGAGAAAAATCAATCAGCTTCAAAATTAATTTATAAAAAATCCCAACTCTCTGTATGGCTCTAGAAAAAGTCTCAGCTACCTGATACCTAGTATTTAGATTACATTATAAAATTCATAATGCAATCTGAATACCAACCATCTTCTCTCCCTGCTATCATGCAATTTAAATCACAAAACAGTGCAGCTTAGCTGTTCACTACATTTCTTCAGTCGCATGAAGTGAAGCTTGGGTCTCTACATTTCCATATGGGCAGTTCAGCTCATGTTTTCTTTATACTTATGCTCATACTGTTAATACTATGCATAATAACTTGTAAAATGTAATATATGTATAGGATATGGTTATATTTGCCCATGTGCCTGGAATCATGATATAATTACCTAGTTCTGTATGATATTCTGAATATTCTGAATCTAGGTTTTGTCTTCTTTAGTCAGCTACAATACTCTCAATTATATTATACATTATTATTTATGTATTGCTGTCCTTTCAGAATTTATTACATTCCATGTGTAATATGAATTATCTTGTATTTTTGTTATCACAAATAAATTATGAACCAATTTAATGAGATATACGGGGTAAGAGCTACCTCACTCAAGCATCTGATTGCGAAAAAAAGTTATTACATTGAATAACATTTTTGACTGCATATTACTGACATGCCTTAAATGTATGGCAATTAAGTATTTTTCTGTTGACTGTGAAAAGTGACTGTCACTGAGTGTGAAAGTTGGTGGCGATTCCTCTAAGCTTTCATCATTAGTTTAGGCAGAGTTTTGAAAGAACACATGGCACTTTATTTAGTTACATAATCAACAGACAAAAATACTGATACAACATGCAAAAACAAATAAATATAAGCTTTGAGATTATCTGACTAAAATTTATTAAAACATATCCCAATCATTCTGGCAGCCAAAAAATTTTTGAATGCTATTCAAAATAACAATAAATATATTCATTTTCTTTGTGAGTTTGGAACCACATAAATTTACTTAAATACTAATTCAAGCTGTGTCAAGCAGTTTTGCAGTATTTCTCATTGTGTTATTTTGCTGAAATCCAGTTTTTCAATATTTTGAATATGATGGCAGGATCCCATAACTTAAAATACGCTTGCAGTTCTTCAGAAGGTAGAACCTAATTTCTAATCCTTTTAACAAAATGCAAGAAAAAGAATAGAGAAATAGCAGCTAACTTATATTCTTATGCATAAAAACAACGCTTGCTTATAGAGAATTAATTGGGATTACATAAAACCCAAGTGAAGATCTTTTGAGTATATTGTGACATCATACTATTACTATCCATTACTAGAGCTAAATTGTACTGTTTGGGGACAGTTTTTGCTTATGGAAACAGCTCATAGAAAAATATATGTAAGTACCAAATATTTGATTGCCCAGCATGTAGTTTACAATAATATTAAAATCGCAAATTAAATTAATTATATTATTAATTAAATCTAATTATATTAAACACATATAAAATACTTTATATTATTATTCGGTATATATTTTTAAATTTTAACATTTTTTTCTGAAGGAAAGTAATTGTTTAAGATGGACATGTGAAGGATTTTATCAGAATGGTTTTGCATAGCAACAAATTATTACTGACATCTGCATTTTCTAATAAAAAATCATTCTAAAGAGCAATTATATTTTCATAGGCTATTTAGTTATCATGACTAATAATCCACCAGCACCCATAGAAACAGCACAAAAGGCCTGTTCTTTTCCTTTTTTTAAAACTTAATGCAAACTCAGAATGCAAATGAAGAAATATTTCCCCCCCATTTGTTATGTTATAATAATAATACATTTATTTTAGGTTTCCTGTTTGCATATAAATGAATATATATGAGAATGGTATGCAATCATGACTTTTTCTTCATGATCTGTGTTACTTTATTTTACTAAGGTTAGGCGAATATATATAAAATATATGTGCTCCGTGGATTGACAAGAACAGCTAATGTAAGCAGAGTTATTTTTCTATAATGAGTATCAAAAAGCTCATTTTTATAGTGCAGACAGGTTATATATGGCTTTGAAAGTGTGAATTCAATACTATTAATCACTAGTGGAAAATAACAAAATTTCACCACTAGTGAAAACTCAAAATGGCAATTCAGCAAACTGATAATTTAATGAATAATGATACAAAATATGAAATTAAAGAAAGAAGCATTAAACTAGTACATAAAAAAGTAAATTTACATTCATTATTCTATTTTTTCTGGCATTATGAAATAAATGAGAAAAAAATCAGGCAAGATACCTCAACTGAATCATCTTGTAAGAGAAGTACAAGTTCTGGGTGCAAAATATATGCCTTTGAACCTAACAGTCTAGCAATCTAGAATAAATAAAAATTTCAAAATAATGAAATTTACACAGTAATAATAACAATAAAATTCACAATTATTTTTCTTGATATTAGAAACATCTTTAGCAAAATCTAACCAAACGTTTTTGAACTGTTACATTATGTTAACATATATATATATACATATTTTTAAAACCACACCATTCATTTATAAGCACCCTGCATATATATATTTATATACATTTAGGGCGCCCAATTGCAACAAAAAAGCAAGGTGCAGACTAGATGTTATAGCAGTGCCATATACAAAATATCAACATTCTACAGCTATTTGTTTTGGAGTTATGCCAGGGAAGTAACATACAGACATAACGAAAAATTTCCTCTGAATCCATTTTACAATCCTCTTTGGGGAGGGGGGGGAAGTCCCTTATTCTGTCCATACATACAGATTCCGTATTAAAACATAGATTAAATGAGGGATCTGAGAGTGATCTAAATGAAAATTTTTGTTGAAATATGATACCCAAAATTTTTCATGTGTACATAACTTCCTTTAGTTTGTGAAAGGAAGTAAAAAAGGAATTTACATCTCTGAGTACACCTTTTTCAGGGGCTGGTCTATTGAGAGATATAAATGGATCAGCCTGTTTCTGAACTCGTAAGATGTAAATCTATCATATTAACTTCAATTAAATACAAAACAATTCATATTTTCATCAGCCCAAGCCTTAAAGAAGGAAATATAATGGGAGATGTAAATTCTTATTTGATTACATTTAATTTTTAACTTTTGCACTTCCTGTTTACTGGATATTTTAAAACTAGATACGTTTTCTGATTTTTTTCTCAATGGTTTAATGATTTTGAAAAATAATTTATTTAGCTCTTATTAACTGTTTATTTCAAATTGAATATGTTTTGAATTAAATGTTTTGTATGTTTGTTGAATTTAAATTTTTGCTTCTATTAAATATTTTGTTTGTTTAATTAGAATTTTTCCTTTGTTTATTGCATATATATATAATACAATTAATACATATTATACATATATAATTAAAGACAAAGTAAGAAATTTAGAAAAAAATTTCACAAAGACCAAAAATTGAAATGCTTAATTAATAAAATTTCAAATATCTTATAAATGCAACAAAGAATTTAAAAATGTTAAAACCAACACTTTTCAAAAAGCAAAACCTCATTAAAAAAATTAATGAAATTTAAAGAAAAATGAACAAAAATAGAAGAGGAATTTAATTAACTTCAATGCTACTGCGTCAGGGGGGGAAGGAACATTGAAATCTCTCTTCTACAAAAGTCCTTGCTTTTGTTTTCAAAAGTATTGCTTTGTAATTACAATAATACATACATACATACATATATATGTATTATTAAAGCACTGCTCAGAGCTTGAATATATATATATATATATATATATATTAAAGCACTGCTCAGAGCTTGAATGCTTGCTTGTGTTTCCTTTCTGAGCATAAAATACTTTGAAACAGGAAAATATCAAAATATTAACCAATACACTATCATTTGAAAAACTGTGCAACTGTTTCAATAAAATTAAAAAGAAAAAGATAATTCAAATGTTAAAACAAAATTTAATTTTTAGGCAAATGACAGTACACACAAGAAGTAGATTTATGCTCAATAAATTATTGTTGCAACCAATGCCCAATGCTGTAATTATTTATGTTAATTAAATACAATTGAACATAAAACTGGACTTCCACGCATATGATTGTGTTGGAAATGTGCAAATTCAGTGACTGATAATATGTTGGTTGTTTAAAGGGAATGAGTGATTACTGAGAGTGACCAGTAATGAGTAGTTATGGCTCAAAAGCATCATTTAAGTGAAAGTCAAAGTGCCAAATTAATTCGTAGAATGAAGGGATGTCAAATACAAATGGAGGTTATCCAAGATTTGAATATCCCCCAAAGTGTCATATCAAGAGTTTGAAGCTGCTTTTTAAGCACTGGATCAGTTAATAGATAGTCTGGCCAAGAGCGATCAAGAGCAAAAACTGCTTCAGAAGACTGTTTTCTGTCATTGTTGTCTTGAAGAAACCACAAAGTAACTGCAAGAGATCTGGTTTTAGACCTTCAGATTGCCACAGGAACTTGAATTAACCTTTCTATTGCTGTAGGAGAGCTTGAGTCTAGACTATATGCGAGAAGACCAGTGATGTGTGTCCCACTCAGTTCACCTTCTAAAGGGGTCCATTTAAAACTAGTGCCTCCATCATGTTCAATGGAGCCAAGACGACCGGGCCTGAGTATTGTTTACTGGTGATTCCAGATATAGTCTAAACAGTGATTCTAGACGTGTTTTGATCTGGAGAGGAAAAGGAACACACAAATTGCCTTCCCTTTTCCATGAAATATCCAGTTTCCATAAATGTGGTTTAATGGTTTGGAGAGGAATCATAACAAATGGCCGCACTGAGCTAGATATCTTTCAAGGAGGTTCTGCAACTGCTTGGAGATAAGTGGACAAGGTATTGCAACTCCAAGTTAGACTGTTTAGGCTGTTGGTCCAGAGTTTTCGCTAATGGATGACTATGCTTTGCCTCACTGAGCATATGTGGTGTCAGAATACTAGCAAACAGAAGATATTACTTGGATAGATTGGCCACCTTACTCACCCGATTTGAAATTTACTGAGCATGTGTGGGATGCCTTAGAGGCAGAATTTTAGCACACCAAATTCCTCCTCTGATCTCTACGAGCTGAAACATCCGTGTTTAGAAGAGTGGCATGGAATTCCACAAGACCTGAACAACACTTTGGTAAAGTCTATAAAATCAAGATATGAGGTATGCATATCTTTTGAGGTGACTATACACCATATTAAAGAAAATATTTTCCACAAAGGTGACAATTTTCCCATCATTTTTTGACTCTCATAAGTTTGGTTTTAATTTCAATATTTTGGGAATAATCAACTGCCAAACATTATAATTTATGTTAATGAATATTTTTGCACAAATTTCTATTAATAATTTTTTATTAATTATCAGTTATGTTTTATTTCTCCCATTATCCTTTAATTTTGAGGACCAGTGCAGCTATCGAGCGAATTATAAATAAAATTGGTTTCTAAATATCTTGTTGGAGTAAAAATCATAACTTTTCTAATGGCTGACATGTCACTATGACTTAAGAAAAGCCTAGACCAATTCTGTAGTAAGAGTTTTAAAATAAGTCACATCAAAGCTCCATGCAAAAAGCAAGTAGGTAGCAGAAAGCTGTGGGAAACAGTAAAGCATTTCATCTAACCTGAAACAGTCCAGAGAAGACAGCAATTTTGCATGTGGGAATGAAAACAGACTATAGAAAGTGGTGGCAAGGAAGCTAATCTGAGGTGCAATTCTAAATTTCACTGGTCAAGGGTTTGGCTATTGTTCACGTGAAAGCAGGAAAGCTTAGCAAAGGAGCATATTTAAACATGTTTCATAGTATTATCTGTCATATTAATAAGAATAGTTTTCTTTAAATTGTATAATAATATAATGGGTACTTATTTATGAATTCCACAAAAAGTGTTGTTTTCATTTACATTACAGGACAACATATTAGATCCTTTCAGCTCCAACAACCACTACTTAACTCCAGCTGTACACTGAACTTGGTCATTAGTAATGCATGTAAATATATGCCTAATACTAATATTTACATAAACAAACCTGTTGCAACCTTTTTCAAATAATCTATTTACATACTAGTGAGACATTGGATACAACTATATACATATACACCATTGCTTTTATCAAAATGTATGTTCTTGACGTCATCCTAACATATTTCTTCATCAACGTTTCCAAAGCATCTGTTTACATCACGTTTTCCATTATTATTTCCAGATACAGATATTATCTAAGATATACAATCGCACCCATCCACAGATAGTTTTTGTTTGCGCATATTCTGTAGTGATATCTGTTTTGTGCATGCTTGCAAGACTAAGCTGCCTGGTGATGTATTTAAGGTTTGGTTAGTGTTCTAAACATGTAATTTGATTGTGAAAACTAAGTGCAGTTTATCGCGATTTAGTGAATAAAAATAGTGTATTGGTTTGATCTTTGTGTAAGTGCGTGAGTTATAACTCAGAGAAGACTAATTCTTATTTAAAAGCTTTACATAGAAAGTTATACTAAAGAAAATATTTTTGCTACAGTTATACCATCACTTACATGCCAAAGTAATGAATGCTAAAGATATCAACACAACTGTAAGGTACTGTAAATTAAGAACACTGGAGTAGAAGTTTAATAATACAGAACAAATTTCATGACACTAGGAGCTACATGTTATAATTAAAAACTATTCAAGAGCAGCAAGTATATACTTATATCATTTTAAAAATAATTAAACAGGTTTGGAATGAGGGGATAAGTTTGAAGTAAATTAATACAAATTTAACATTTTTATACAATCATAATCATGTAATCAATATGTTATGCACAATATGAGTTACGCAATCAATATTGATTACATAAGAATAAATACTTTTTATTTCCATTGTTCTATATTCAGGACAGTATGCTCCCATGATATACAAATTTGAAACTATTGTATGTAGCAAAAGGAACTTTTTATAGAGAAACACTTTCTTCATTGCTTCCAGTTGACTAGTTTTAGCCTTTGTTAATGCACTAATGTAAATGTTCTTCCATCTGAGTGAAGAATGAAGCACCAATTTGTAAAATCAATCCAGTGATTTTTCTATACCTCATATTCACTCATAAGTGACACAAGGATACACAAACTGCAGAGAAATTGATATTCAAGAGAGAAAATTATTTCAAAATAAGCCTGTAAAGGATTACTGCATTCCCCTGTGTGTATGTTTTCATCATGTAAATGGTAAGAACATGCAGCTAGCAGTTAATAGATCAGAAGTTTCAATCCTGATGAGAATGCAATTAATTTTTTGCTTATCATCCTCTGAAAACATTCATGATCTATAGACAGGCATTTGAAATGAAAGCACACAGAGCACTTGAAAAATACAATTC